AAATATTGTATGCAACTCGTGTGTAAATTCCTTTTATTTGACTCATCGTCAAAAAAGAGTAACTTTACACACTTGATGCATAAATAACACGGTTATTAGCTAATCTACGCACAGACTATAAAACGACTATTGCATTCAACTGAACGAATATATTTCATATCCATTCTAAGTAGTGATAACACTACTAAAGAATTTTTTGAAATTTTAAATAATAATATAATAATAAAATTATCTCTAATTCACCCCCTTACGAGTGAATTTCAAAACCCTTGAAGCCGACTGAGTGACTTGTATAAGGGAAGAGACAGTTATTATTATTATTACTTTTCACGGCGCTCAAGTACGACTCAAAGATGATTGATGGTGCCATTTGGCTTACAGGAAAAGAAAACCCCACCCACCATCATAGGTAACAATTCTGTCAAACTATTTGTCAGTATAATTTTCAGTTATTGAGATTACATATACCTTAAAATGAATTATTTTTGTTTAGAATCGATAAATAACAGCTTTTTTATTTTTATTTGGTCCCAATTATGAAAAAAAAAATCAATTAAACACTATGAAACTAATTTAATTACGAGTATTAAAACTAAAATTATAATTAATAGTGGTATTGAGGGTGAAGACGAATCCATTAAATAAGAGATCATTAAAATCGGTCTAGCCGTTTTTGAATTATAAATTGTGTAACTAACCCGACTTTGTTTTATTTATTTAGATTTAAAAAAAAAACAATAAAATATATTAATTATTGTCCAGTCTAGAATGGAAAACCAAATACTCGAATTTCACAAATTTCATCTGCATTTGTGAGCAGTGAGCTTTAAAAAAAAACAACTGAAAATATCTTAATCAGATCATGCCGTAAACATCTTTCCTCCATGTCAAATATTATTGTATAGGTACTGTAAGTTGTTAGGTGTTATTGTATTCTGTTGATTAGGAATAATTAAGCCTTATACAATAATATACATACACTAATGTTTTGTGTTTAATTGAAAAAATAAACATGATAATTGCGAATACCGAGGTGTAAATAGTTTATCTCGCTTTTTGTCCAAATTTCAGGCGGCTTCCACGAAACAAGCAAACAACCTTGTGCGGTGTCGAAATACGGGTTATTTCAGCCAGCTGAAGAACAGGAGAGTTAAATTCGAAAGAGGTGGCGGACCGGAATTCGGCAGAAGGCAGAATGAACTTGATCGAGGACGAGGACAAAGTCTCTCGAAGGATTCGTAGGTTGTCTGTGAACGACGACGCGTACACGTTGTCAGAAACCGAGATCATGACGTAGCCCGGGTAGTATTTTTCGGCTAGCAGGATATCAGCATGAAGAAACGATTTGAAAACGTACCCACAAGTGTTGTGAATATACAGAAGAGAATCATTAATGTAGTAGTGCTTGGTATTTAAACCAGTTGTAAAAAAATACAGTTATTAGATATTTAGAAATAAACTAATTAAAAAATAAAAAACTTACAATTTGGAGTCTCACAAAGTACAATTCTTGGGCCATTATTGTTTTTGTTCTGCAAACAACGGGGAATATAATTAGCTTCACTGATGAAAACGCCATATTCTATTCAGCAGACTAAAATTTAAAAAATAAAGTTGAAGTAGAACTTTTTTTATACCCTTCATACTACATTTTTGACAAAGCTGTTATTTCAAGAAGGAAGAGTTTTAAACCTAAACAAATATTTAATAAAAGGGCTTGAACTCAAGTACTTAACAAAAATCAAGAAAAAAGGGTAGATATATCTAAATACCCTTAAAAAAACAGTTCAGCGCTCACATCTACTCATGACCCTAAAGTTCTGAAATGTATAAAATGTATAAAACAAATATTTATGCACTCCGAACTCCATATGTCTAATTAAATCTATATTTAAATAATTTTTGATCATTGTGAAACTAAAGCGATATAATGTTGTTTGCAATATAATTTAGTTTGATTAATAAAAATATCATACAGGATGGCCATTTGAAAATGAAACAAAGCCAATTTTGAGCACTTCAGGTCATTTATGAAAAAACGCTCATCCGTTAATTTTTGATTTTAGGGGGAAACATTTTTTTTGCCAGTTAAACCCTTTAACGGGGGTGAGACACACTCCTAAAATCTTAAATGGAAAGAGGGTTCGAATTATATCTTATTTTAAAGGTATTTTTACCTAGATTATAACCCCCGAGTTTTAAATATCTACTGTCTTCCTAGCCATGATCTTTGTTTCGTTTTCAAATGGTCAAAATAATAAAGTTATTATTTTCCAATATTGCCTTAAAAAAAATTAAATTATTATTGTCTCTTTTTTATTTTTTTGCAATCTATTTGGAATTTTAAAGATGATGTACTAGCCCAGAATCATATATCATTTGGCCCAATCAATATTATATTTTTGTTTTGTTTTAGATAACATTGGTAAATGCAAAAGAAAAATCTATTGAATCCAACTTTTTTATTATAATTTGAGACATGGTTATCAACATTTTTTATCAAAATTAATATTGGAAAATTGGAGATATGGACAGAACTCTAAATTAAATAACAATAAATCATTTCGTTTGGCCCAATAATCATGGAAGGACACCGGTGATTTTAACACTATGTATCATCTCCCTTTCAGAACTGCTTCTATTAGTTTTAACATGGTATCTACTAACTTTTTACAATCTGCAGGAATGAAGGAGTTCCAAATTTGACTATATTTCGTGCAGTAGCGTAATAATTGCAATATTAGCATCAGAATTACCAGCATTGTATAAACTGACAATAACGACGTAAATCATTAGACACAGCTTTACCCCTCATCATTTTGTTAACATTAAATAATTACAACTAACTGCTGAAGTGTCACTGTCAGAAATAAATAATTGACAAATGTTTAGTTTTAACTCAGAGCTAATATGATTATAAAAAAGCTATTTTTAATGCACGAGCCAAATGAAATGAGTCACTGGTATCTTATTTAATTAATTATTCTGTGCATATCTCTAATTTTCTAATATTAGTTTTAATAAAAAATGTTAATAAACACATCTCAAATTAGAATAAAAATAGTTGGATTCAATAGATTTTTCTTTTGTAGTTACCAGTTGTATAAAATAAAATTAAAAATATAATATTTAATGAGCCAAATGATTTGATTCTGGGTTCGTAATTAAAACTAAAATTGTTTCCTATTGATATACTATAATAAACTATTTAAGTATTGAAACTTCATAATATATTTATAAGGTGCTGAACACTAAATAAAATTAATAAAAAACCTTTTATTTTCGTCTTCTCAAGAATGGTTTATCGTACAATTTTGGAAAATCCAAATTTCGCCAAAAAATCGTTTCTTCGATATATTTTCTTTCTTTTTTTACCTGTATCTTGGCAACATCAGGAAATTCCATAAGACCTCGTCTTGGTTCATCTTTCTTCCAATTGCAGCATGCAGTGTTTTCTTTCAGCGTTGTCATTGGTTGCTGTCTTATAGTGTTAAATAAAAATAAAAGTTTAGAGTTACGGTTTTGGGTAAAATACAGAAATGTAGAAAAGTAAACACCACAAGATGAATGGTCAACTCAATTTCTTTTTGTTATTTACACCTATTGGCGCGTCCATTGTGGGACACAGTGTATATAACACATCACTATTTAAATATTAATCGGTAAAGGTGTCCTAAAGACAACCTCATCAGTTAGATATAAAAAGAGAATTTATTCTAATCATTACAAAACGCCACCGCTTTAAGATAACGGCCTACTTTTAGTTAACCGACAATAAAATTGATGGGCCTGTAATCGTTGGATTAGCTGTCTTAATCTAATCAGAAAGGTTTTTTTTTCTTATTCGAATCATTATAATTTAAAAATATGTCTATTAATGATATAGGCCAAGATTTACCTGTGAAAAATTGGTATGATTTGTCCAATTCGAGCGTCTTTTATTTCCTTTTTTCGAAATAATACAAATTTTCTAATGCGTCTTTTGTTAAAGCAATAGAATTTTCATTATTAATTGAAATATTATTTTTATAGTTTATTTTTTATTCTTTTGTGTAAATACTATTTTGCTTGTCCTATTTTATTTAGTTTTTTTTTTATTATTATCTTGACATATATAATAATAAGCAGTTTATTTTTATACATTTTTCCTCCAAAGATCAATATCCCCATCTCTGAATTTGGGAGAAGTAATCTCTCGTGAGGTGCTGTATTCCTGGTTTTTCGTGACCGTAGAAGCCTACCTACCGATATAAGGGAATTCAGGACACGTCCCTACTTCCTCCTCTCCATCCTTTTTCCAGGTATATGTACAGAAACGCAACGCATAACGATTTTTTTAGTATTTGGGTAGATCTACACAAATTGATTAGAAAATTAATATGCATATTAATTATTTACTTACTTAAACTAATAAGTTTTGCATCTTAGGTAATTTAGACACGGTTTTATTTTTTTACAATGTTTTTTATTATATTTAAAATTTTACAATAAATTTAAATATGTCTAACTATTATTTGTTAAGTTATATAGGATTTTGTAGTGAAAAGTAACCCTAATTGTAGCCAATAATGCGTGATTTCACTGTACACGAACGTTCTCCATGGGCGTACTAATTTGCTTGCTTGGACAAAATGCATATCGCGTCGGTATTCGATGAACTGTGGAACGTTTTTCGCAGAAAAACTGAAATTTTCATACCGCCGTATATAAATTAGAAGTTTTGTAGAAAAAACCTTTTCAGAGATCGGTTTTTTTTTTCTTCAAACACATATTATCCATTACTTTCTAAGAAAACAATGAGAGGAAGTCTTTATTAAAAAATGTATTAACACTAATAAATTTAATTTAGTACTTTGGAGTATCTAAAATTTCGTTTAATTACTATATAAATCATATTATTCATTATTTCAAAAAGTTGAAAACCTGATTTCGATATATTTCTATAATAAATTTAATTTTTACAAAAATATATTAACTAAAATGTTCTCTATTTGTTTCAGATCGCCGCTAATAGTAGCTATAGTATTTATTACCTTCTTCCACAATGTATTGAGTAAACATGTAAGTATATCATTATTAAAAGTACAATAATTAATTCGCATACGAATACCTATATCAAATATTTATATCAAAATTAAAGCAATTTTTTATATATTTTTATCATTTAAAATTATATCTAGGATTGTATAGGACTTTATTTTTTTTGAATCTAGATAAAAAGAATATTCATCATAATATTACTGGTATATGAAGTCGAAAAGATATATTTAATAATAGAAATGGAGATTCTATTGGAAAAAGTCAAATAACCAACTTTTTTAAATAATTTTATCAAAAAAACTTAAAAATTAGAAACTTACATTAATTTATTTCAAAATGTATCCAAGATAAATGTATCGAAGATAAATAATGTTGATTAAATTCATGCAGTTGTAGGAAATCCTCAAGTTGTAGTGTTTGACATGTTGTCCACACACTTCTTTCTTTAAACGCACTTCATTTTTAATTTACCATACTGAAATCAGACGTGACTGAATTACCACAACATGTCCACAGTATATCGAGATTTATAAGAAAAACCGAACAAAAAAAGTATAAGAACATAAACAGATTTAATAATTAGCCTATCTTTTAAAGTCCAGGCTCAAATTTAATTTTTTTAATTCTGTATCTTTCTTATTTAGTTAAAAAAAAAAGTTAATTGAAAAAAGCGACTTCTATACACAGTTTAAAAAGTAGAAACTTTGGATTCACCCTATAAAGTATAAAGAATAATAAAATGATATTTGAATTATATTAAAAATTACATAGTACTCTTATGTTTATTTTTTTTAGAGTTTTAAGTGGGTCCAAAAATGATAATTGGATAATTCAATCAATACAAATTTGTATAAACATTTAGAGTGAGTAAATGAAAATTTGAATGTTAATTAGTCATCTGCTCATATTTGATCAGATAAATAAACAATATTTCAATGCAATCAAGCAATCTCTATTTTACAGTTTCACACGTAGTTAATTTCGCGATTTTTTCCAGCCTTGAGTAGGTATTTTATCGACTCGTTTTTGTTTCTTGAAACACGTGTGTTATTGTTACTTTAGTTAAGTTACCTATCTGTCGTAACATTTATTTATTTAATTAATTATTTATACTAATACACTATTATCTCTTTTACTGATGCACTAATTTATATTGGCAATATTTATGTGAATAGAACGGATATCTTCACTAAAACTAACTTCAAACGGCAAAGCTTAGCCAATTTATATACAAGGTGTTTCAGAATGTAATGTACATAGGTGTGGGACACTTGGATAATTCAAAATCATTCATTATTATTAATGGGTCTGTCACATCTCATTACCTAGATACATGGCGTTTTATGAATTTCGCCTGACTTTATTTTTGGTCAAAACTCAATAATTACTCGGTATAAAAAATTTAAATTTGGCAAGTAAACTCATTTCAATATAAGAAAAATAATGCCATAAAAATTATAATTAGAGTCCAGGACCGGCTAAAAAAATTTGACAATTTCTTTTCGCTTCAAAAACAACATCCTATGTAACCAAATTTAGCAAATCTGATTAAATATCTCAAAAGAGCGGAAAAATAGATTTAGGAAGGTGTCTTTTAAAATTTACGCATATCGTTTTAGATGCACTATTTTTTCTTTTGATAAAAAATATATTTTTAAGAATTTGTTACCTTCTTAATTTAAAAATGATTTATTGGTGTTAAAACACGGAAAATATTACTTTTATAAGTAAGTATTTTTCAAGTATCTCAATTTTGCACTACCTCAGTCTTGAAATAAATTACAGCGTAGTTAGCTAAATCAATATTTTTTTAAATTTATTTTTAAATACCCTGTATAGGTAATGAAAAATAAGGAAATTAAAGGTTAAAAAGATAATTTCGAATTAGTAGCAAACATTAACGGGCATTGAGTTTGGTATTTTCTTTTAGGTATCAGGAAAATTTAATTATAAACAATTTAGAGATAGGATTTTTAAAATAATTTGGCTATGGCTGAGGTACCAGCTAAATCAATATTAGTTAGCTAAATCAATATTTTTTAAAATTTATTTTTAAATACCCTGTATAGGTAATGAAAAATAAGGAAATTAAAGGTTAAAAAGATAATTTCGAATTAGTAGCAAACATTAACAGGCATTGAGTTTGGTATTTTCTTTTAGGTATCAGGAAAATTTAATTATAAACAATTTAGAGATAGGATTTTTAAAATAATTTGGCTATGGCTGAGGTACCAACTCATTTTGGAAAAAAGGTCCCTTGCTCAAAATAGTTTGGGAATCCCTATTTTATACTCTTCCAACTTCACCACTGGCAAAAATACCTAATGATTTATAACAATATTTCACATTACCTACTAACGTATAATTTTTGATAAAACAGCATTGCCAATAAGTGAATATCTTGGCTTATAAATCTTTTAGAATTTATTACTGCACAGTGTGGAAGTCGTAGAAGTAGGTATGCAATTATCCTAATCGATAATTTTTATACGGTGGATCGTTTTCAATTTATGTCGACCCCACAGACAGCGGTACCGAGTACTGGTTGGTAGTCCGATCGTGTCCATAGTTTTCACGTAATACATCAATTTTGTAATGGATTTAATTACCACCTTCCTTATGAAATTCGATTAAATTTAAATTACGGCAATTTTGTTAAAGGTATTTTGACGATAATGTCTTAATATTTTTTTTTCACTATTTTCATTTATTATTTTTAAAAACCAAACGGTATTTTTTTAATGATTTGTCAATATTTATATTTTTATTTATTTATTAGTATCTTTTACAAAAAACAATTTGTTTAAAGGGGTACCTTATTGTGTAAATATTTTTTTATTTTCAGAAAATTCGACATTATAAAGATAGATTTAAACGGCAGCAAGGAGCGAACCTTTACCTTCCAGGCAGTTATATTCAAGATAATAATGACGAAGAAAGCGGTCCATGGGAGGAATGGTCAGCGCCAAGTCCTTGTTCAAGGACGTGCGGTGGGGGAGTATCTACTCAGAATAGGAAATGTACGCAGGGATACGAATGTACGGGACCATCTGCTAGATACGTTTCTTGTAATACACAGGTAAAATATAAATTGAAAACCAACAGGCAAGAGAATGATAAAATCAATATATTTGATAAACAAAGTGTTTTTATATGAATTCTTCATTTTAATAAGAAACACGTATTATGCTTCTATTAAGTTTAAAATTTTCGGTTATGAAACGTCATATGAAGCGTTTGAGTATATTTAACAGATCAAACGAATTACCTGAAGGAAGTTTGATCCTAATTATGCGATCATCCTTGTTAGTGGAAATAAAGATAACCATGTAGTTGTTTAGAGGATGTTCTATTCAAAATAAAACTAGATTCTTGCTTTCTACGTAAATGTATACAATATATTACTATATTACTATACATTTCCCACAAAATTAACAATAATAATTAATAATAATAATACTAATGAATTAATCATTAAACAACGTAACAAAAAATAATATTGAATTTTAACAATCCAGTTTTATAATTTTTTAATACTTTTGCGAGCGTTGGTTTTGCGTCTTAAGAGGAAAATTTACATTACAAACTGAAAGACCTGCGGGGCAACGGTAGTTTAGTAGGTATAAAAATTACAACTTAAGGGTGGAGCCTAGATACTACAAAATTACTTCCGAGACTAAACAAAATCCGCATTCATTCATAATTTTAACAATTGCCTGTAGATACGAGGGATACTAGTTGTCTCTGGGGATACGTATTCCAAACTCTAACGCGCTAAGTTGAGACTCATAGGAACCTAAAAATCCTACAACGGCTGCCGACAGACGTTCGTCAATTCTTGTTCTTGAGTGAGTCAGAGTTACCTAAATTAGGGGAACCAGAATTATTTGTTTTTCTCGGTGCATTGCGAAATATTGTTATAACGCAGTTCGATTTTTTAAAGGGTTTTACATTATTTTTATATTTTAATTTAGTGAATAAGTTTAGTTAGACTAAATTAGATTTAAGAGTATAGAATTGTGAAATATAAATACAAATAACGAAAAAATAGACGATTGGTTCGAACAAGGTAATTTAATACAGGGTATTTATTAATTGAGTGCCGATACTTAAGGGTGTGAATCCTTGGGTGTTAAAGTTTTAAGAAAAAAAATAACTATTTAATTTTGCCCAAAAAAAAGTGTTTCCACTCATGGGTTCCTACCAAATTTCAACAAAATATCAAAAGCAGTTTCAATAAACTGGTTTTTATTTTCTTACGCGAAAAGGGTGCGTCGTACGAAAGTACGTCTATAAACCAAATTTGCTCCAAAATAAATAAGGATTTTAAAGATAATTTTTGTTTTTAGAAAAAGCAGTGGCGCACCATATTTTTGTTCAAAAATATTCAGTTCAAACCCGGTACGGACGTCACTAGAAAAAATTTAGAAGTCTTTTACGACAAAAAGGCGGGATTGAAAGTGAAAGTTTAGTCTGTTGGTACATAATATACTATATTTATATATCTAATTTTTATTATTACACTGAATGTGACATGGCTTTTTTGCTTGCCGTTTTTGGATTAACAAACTATTATTTTAATGATTTAAAATAAACTGCCAGTAATAATAATTATCTGTACTTAAACATATACAAAGTGTTCATAAAACGACGCATCAAGAAAGCACCAAATTATTAAACTTTTAATTTACGTAATAAGTATTAAAAGTAATTTTAAAAAACCGACTTTAAAATCGTGGTGATGTCATCACCACATCTTAACCAAATTTATATGGGACCTCCCCTGAGGTACCCCCTTACTAACGAAAAGAATTATAGAAATCGGACAAGGTGGTAAAGAATTATCGCTAAACATATATAAAAAATGAAAAGTTTGAGGATTTTCTCATGGACCCAATTATTAGATTTTGACCAAAATTAAAAGGGACCATCCCGGAAGTATCCTCTTTCCAGCAAAAAAAGAATCATTTAAATCGGACATTGTGTTAAAGAATTATCGCTGAACATACATTAAAAAAATATATACAGACGAATTGTGAACCTCCTCCTTTTTGAAGTAGGTTAAAAAGGATATAATAATCTATATTAATTGTATTAACTAAAAAACTACTATCTGGAGTTGTATACATTTTCATAAATTAATCTTATATGTAAAAATGTGGGTTCGGTTCCTAAAAGAGTACCTAGTTCACTGTGCAGCCAAATTTATATTTATAATACAGAATTTTTTAAATAAATGAAGTTTTAGGTTTAATTAAACACCAAGTTTTGTCAGGAATAACATTTTCTGAAAAGAAAAAAGTAACATATAAAAAGCAGACTTTTTGCGAGCCACTATATATATTTTAGAGGACAATCCATATTATTTTAGAAAAATAAATAAAATTTTTGTATAATTACATAAATGTGATTTATCTTTTAGAATATTGTATATATTTGTCAAAGTTTACTATTTTTTTTAAAAAAAGAAAAATTTTTCTTAAATTTTTTAACACGGTACAAAATACCTTAATTTGTTTATAGTTATCGATTTTAAACAAGACGGAGACCGGACATCGTCGAAGAGAAACAGCGAAATTAGTAAAGAATTTTAACTTGATTAAAGAGCGTTCTTTCTCTTTCCATTTCCTATAAAAACTAATAGACCTTTCTGAAATCGGTATTCGGTGACTTTTCTTCTGATATGATTTACATAAAAAACAAAAACTTATTATTTTTGTGTAATAAAATTATGTTGTTATTTTCACAATTTTCGACTACTCTTTGTTTCCAAAAAAGAAATACGATGTTCTTTTGTAGATATTAACACATTCTTTAATTGGCTTTTTATTATTTTTTTTTTTTTAATATTCTTTAGTATTTTCATAATTTGGGAAACAGTATAGCATTGAAAATTCTATACCTGAAAAATTGTGAGTACGCTTTTAATTAATTGTCTGTTTTTTTATATCACAATGTCTCGGGTAAACAAAGTTACAAAGAAAAAGTTAGTATTCAATATCATCCAGACAAAAAAACAAAAACATGTTTAATAATGAATATATTAAATAAATTATGAGTATTCTTAAACAGAGATATATTTATTTGTATTATGGAAATAATGTTTATGTCAATAAACTTTTGTTCGATATTTCTTTCAATTTATAAAGATAACTCTTGTATAATCATAAGGACTTGCAGATATCACAGTTCGAAATTCTTTTTATTGAACATAATACTTTTTTTGGAATGAAAGCATTAGTTCCTGTTTTTCAGTTAAGCTCCATAAATCAATTCATATTTTAATCTGATCGCAACTTAAGCGCAGTAAAGTTGCAACAACTAAACAATATAGTGAACTTTTCGAAAATTTCTAAGTTAAAATGAAAATTTATATTTAAAATTAAATAAGTTAACTAAAATTTTTGACCGTTATGAAGTTAATAAAGTTATAAATAACGTCGTTACAAAGATTCATGTGTGAATTTTCAATTTCTATTGATGATAGTTACTCATCTACGTATTACAATATCAATACATAACTTGGCTTTGACACAAAACTTCTAATCCGAATCAAAATCTTGAAACTATTATTTGGGGACTTAAAAGCGTGGTCCACTAGTTGGTGTAGCCTTTTAAAACATTTGGTATAATCATAATTATATATCATCAATTACCACTGCCACTGGTAAAATCCTAAATTTAAAATAGTGTACTATAATAATAAGACATTAATTATATCTTAAATGGATCGCCTACTACCATGTTTTAGAAACAAATAAAATGTAATTCTTAAATTAATAAAAATATTCAAAATAATTTAAGATTCCTTGCGTTATGTTAATAAACATTAAATAAAATTTCTTACGAATTATTTAGTATTCTGTCTCGTACTTCCATGTCTCTATTAGCTTCGCTGTCAACAAGTTCCGGCAAGGCATATTGCATATAAAAATTTTTAATTTTATTTTGTATCTTTTTTTCCCAAAAGCTGTCATTATGAGATATTTTCTCCACTTTTATTCCTCCAGAAGTCCAAAAGCACAAAATGCAAAAATCTATTTGTGTTATGTGCAGCTAACCCTGAATTTGAAAATACCAATATTGGTTCTCCTTAATGGTATTGTCCTTTTTCCCAAAAGTTATTTCTCTACTGTATATTTCTTCTTTTACAGTTAGCACTTCAGCTCCATATGGACATTTTAACTCTATCATAGAGTTTTGTTTTTTTTTAATTCCATCCAGACTGGCAGCAATATAATCAAATTTGAATTCAATAAAATGTCCACATTTAAAAACTTTTACTTGCAAATAATTTTCCATATCTTATTTTGCTCTGAATTTATGGTCCATGTCATATCGGGTGGCTTTACAAATAAATAAAAGATTTTAGGAAATTTTTTACAAATTTCTCCAAATTTTAAAGTAGTGACTTGTCTTTTATAGTGCCACAATGCACAATCAGCTTGTCAAAATCGTTTTTTTCTCATTTATAGAAATTGGATAACTTTTTAGAAAATTTTCTCTTGCCACGCGCCTCAAAGGGTGCGACAGATCAAAGCCATGCGCGAAAGCAAGAAAAAATATTTACATTACTTTAACGGATTGAAGAGATATTAACATGCTGGAATTAATAATTATTGTTAACTCGAAGAGGTATTCATTAAACAAAAACATATTTATAATTCACATCTCATTGCATACCTTCCAATTTCGAGTATATATTTTTTTAATAAATAAATGATAAAATTACTGTATGTAAACAATACAACATGAATTCAAATCACTTACGTACTGTTTATCACTTAATAGTAGAAAAAGATATATATTTTGTTGGTGTCACCATCTAGACGAAAAAGCTTTTAACGTATTCCTATTTTTATTGTAATAAAAATAAATGCTCCTGTAGGCAAAAATTAAATATATTGTTCTCTTCTAGCATTTTTTAACATTTCTATTTCTTTTCGTTTCTTTTCTTAGATTTTTTTCAAAAGAGACTGACTCATATTTTTAAAGTGACTCCAGAGAGGTATAGAGGTATGGGCTAAGCCTTTACCTGTACTTACATAAAATTTCTTTTAGTAAAATTAAAAAATAATCCGTAAAATTGGTGTACTATGAAACCCTTGCGTATAATATATATACCAATCTTAGTATTAAAGAAATAAATTACGTAAAAAATAAGGTGTACAAATAAGTAAAATGTATTCATCCCTCGTAAAACATCAGTAAAATATATTATAAATTGTTTTCATTCACAAATATTAATTTCTTAAAAATCTAACAGAGGCGCCACTTTCCAGACGAAAAATCTTGCCATGTAAGGGTTTCGTAGTACCCCACTTTTAAAGTTTATTTTTGACTTATTCTAAAAGAAAAAAATAAATACGTGTAGGTAAAGGTTAAATCTATGCTCCTCTGGAACCACTTTTTCAAAATTCAATTTAGTTTTTTCTAAAAAAAATTGAGAAAATGAGTAAAAAAAGTCGAGTTTTGTATTTTTTTTTTAGAAAAAACAGTTTCAAATTTTAAAAAAGTGTCTCCAGAGGAGCATAGATTTATCCTTTACCTATACGAACATATTTCTTTCTTTCAGAATAAGGCAAAAATAAACTTTAAAAGTGGGGGTACTACGAAACCCTTGCATGCTCCGCTCTACAGCCAAGTAAATACTCCTCTTAATTGTAAAACTTGTTAAACACTACTGATCTCTTTGTCCTACAGTTTTTCTAATGGTTTCGATATCGACGCAGATTATGAGGACGGTCGAGGTACATACGTATGTGTACTGTTTGAGCTACCCACCCAATAGTTTGGGGAGATATTGGAAGGACTGGAGCGTTAGTGGTTAGAATAAAATAAAAAGAAAACCTGTGAGACTTTGTTTTTCTTTTCCCAATAAAATAAAAAAAAAATGCAGAGCATAAATTGAGGTAATTCGTGGGAGAATGAAAATACTAATAAAGGCTGAGCTCGTTGTGGAGTCAAAGTTTTAGCATTTCGTCAATGAAAATTTGTATATTGTCAACTTCCACCTTGACATTTTCAACTTTAATTTTTGAGAAAGTCTATACCCGTTGGGCTGCAAGCATTACAAGTTTGGCTCTTAGCTGTTTTAAGTTTTTCAAGTGAAAGAAACTACTGAAGTATTTTATAAAAAGTGTTTTGATCTCAAATTTGAATACATTTTGGCAAAACAGGATGACCCTTTTAGAAATTTCCTAATATACTTTTTATTTTATTATTCAGAATTGCTATAATGAAAGTTAGGGCAGAAATTATCTAATTTTTAGACTATTTATAATGAGAGCTAGGGCATCACTCTGGTTATAAGGAAAAATTTGTTGTTTTACAATGTTTGAGACATCATCACTAGATTGAGATGTAATTAGGAAATCACTAAGGTTATTTCTAAAAGCCTTAGTTGATGCACTACCGGTTTTAAAGTGTTTGCAAAAATATATAAAGCAAATGGTCAAACTAAATGTAAGACACTCAATTCTGTCACCCCACGAGCCGCCACTGAGTATAAGATCTGATTTAACACATAAAGCAGCCTCCTTTGTACATTTATTTGTTTATAATGCAGAATTTTCATATGAAATATTATCTTTCGTGGTGAACGTTTTGCGAAATTTATACATTAAGTAGAATTATTCGCGTTGCGGTTAGCTGGGCTAAGTATAAGATCAGAGGTAATACATAAAGAAGCCTTCTCTGTGCATTTATTTTGCAATAATATGCAGAATTTACACAAAATAGTATATTCCTTGACCAAGTATTGCGAAATTTACACATTAACTAGCATTTTTTGCGGTGCAATTAGCAGAATTTGTAATTTATAAGTATAAGATCAGAGTGAACACATAAAGTAGCCTCCTCTGTACATACGAGTATATTTGTTATTTGCAGAATTTACACATAAAGTAGTATCTTCCGCCACAAAAGTTATTCGAAATTTGCACATAAAGTGGCAGTTTTTGCTCTGCATACAGTTTATATGAATGATGTATATATGTCGTCTAAATTCGGAAATTTACAGTAAAGCAGTATCTTTTGCAAGCTAAAAATCAATTAAATTATAAAGAAAAACATTCTCAAACCTGTACTAGTATAGGAACAGAGTTAACACATATAGTAGCCTCCTCTGTACATGTCTTTGTTTATAATGCAGAATTTACACATAAAGTAGTATCTGCCCTCATCAAAGTTTTGCGAAATTTGCACATTAAGTAGCATTTTTCGTTTTGCAGACAGATTTTATGAATGACTGCACGGTTAACACATAAAGTAGTATCTTCTGCAAGCTAAAAATCAGTTAAATAAAAAGAAAAACATTATTTTCCTACCTGTGCTCTGAATTTCTTCATTTCTTTTTCAATTTATATCGTATTTCTGAGACGATTTGCGTTTTCGATAGTTTTTACCCATGTTTTTATAATCGCTAGAACGTAGTCGGTCTGAACAATGTGAATCAGGCGATACAAAAATTGGTAATGAGTAATTTAGGCAGGCAGTGATAGAAAATAACATAAAAATCTAAATCTGAACATGCGGGTCAGCGGCGCGCGGCGTAACATATGTATACTACATGGTTATCTTTATTTCCACTAACAAGGATGTGATGCATAATTTGGGTATATGATCCATGTTCATGATGGATTAACTGCAAGTCCGATCAAACATGTGACCGAAAATTTTATTGTTGTAGCTGAACTGTGGCGAACACTCATATTTCTCTGCTACTTCAGCTCATTTCTACCCTATGTTGATGATGCTTTATTTGATTATTGATGTTTATTAGTTCTTGTTTCTCGTTGGTATTGCTCTATCTGAAATTTTCTAGGATTGCCCAGACCAAGCAGATTTTAGAAGTCAACAGTGTGCAGATCACAATGCTATACCTTTTGAAGGGGCACTTTATGAGTACGTATATATTATTTTTATTCCTGTAATAATTAAAAAAATAAAAAATATATTAAAATAATGTGAAGAACGAAGTAAAAAGTGTGTTTTACTATTCATAAGAAAATAGAAATATTGTAGAACTGTTACATTTATAACTTATTAATTATTACTTAGGTGTTACAAAGGAAGCAAATTATTATTTTACATTGTTTTTATACTGTACTAACAATAATAAAATAAGAAACATAGCATATATTCCTTCCTGCAAAATTAGAATTGTGGAAACGTAATTTAAAAAAAAAGTATTAATTCGACATTTTAACATTTTGATTTGTAAAAAATGCTTTTTAAAAAGTGTATATTTGTATATTTAAAATTATTCTTACTAATTCATAGATATAATTCAAAACGTTATTCATTATTTATTATTTAGATGGGTGCCATACACGAAAGCACCAAATCCTTGCGAACTAAATTGTATGCCAAAGGGTGAAAGATTCTATTACAGACACGCAGATGCTGTAGTCGACGGCACCAGATGCAACGATGAAGCATTCGATGTTTGTGTAAATGGCACATGTCAAGTAAGACTTTAATAATACTCCTTACAACTATAAAACTGATAATTTATTTATTTAGTCATTGGCATAACTATTCCGCATATTATTTTTAAATTAAAGTTGAACTTAAATTCGATTAATTATGTTCCTCTATACAAAACTGAAACTGAAACCAATTAAAACCGAGTCCTAACGAGCGGTGTTATCATAAAACTGAAATTAGAAGAATAGATTTGACATTTTATATATCGAGGGCCAAAAAGCAGGACCTCGTAAGTCGCAAAATCAAAATTTTTCATGACATGAAAAAACGATTTACAAGTGCATAGAATAATCCACTTAACTCTATAATAGGACTAATATTTACCCGTGTTTTGTTAAAAAATTGAAAAAATTCACCTACACAGTAGATGGAGCGAACTGTTTTAAACGAGATTATCATAAATTATAATTTTCAAGGCAAATGTTAGTTAGGAGGTCCTGCGTTATGGTAATTATTGGTAAAATCAACGTAAATACGGTACAATTACCCAAAACTTACAAAATTTGACGCTACGACTCGACTAAAACTGATCAGAACCTCTAACAGCCGCAGCATTTATATACGCTTGCTCCGCTGTCGAGCAGATCTTCCATAATATTCCAAACAATTCAAAACCAGTGTCGAAACTGCTCGTAGCGACCGTAAGCCGCGAGATTGTTCGATATCCGTCGTAAATGACGGAGAGCAGCTGAGAAACATCGATTCTGGCTTTACGCTTTACCTATTTGGGATGTAACGGAGCGGCATTGCCAATTTAATTATGAAAGTATGTCATTAAGTTCTATATTAGGGCTCTAGGCCTAGAGTCTAGGTTCTAGGGCACTAACAACACGCTGCACTAAGGGGATTAGAGTCAAAATTTTCCTATTTTATTTTTATATGAAAAAAAAAAGCTAGAGGGGCGCCATAAAAATTTTATTGAAAATTGGGCCCGAATACTGAAAGGTTGAGAACGAAAATAGAATGCATTTGAATACTTAAATTTTTTTGACATTAAGGTTAAATGGTAATTAATGAGGATTAAACAAAATGCTGATTTCGGTTTTCAGACGGATTCTATGTTTGTCAAATAAGTAAACAAAAGTAACTTCGTTATACAACACAGGGCGGTATAATATGGCATTATAAAAATATCTAAAATATTTTGTAAAAACTTTAATTTTACTTAAAATACAATAAATATAGATGTTTAAGATTTGAATACTAACTAGGAACTCACTTTTTACTGAATAAACTACTTTTATATAAACAAAATATGCTAACTATGCAAAATCGTATATTTTATATCTATTCTCCTATAGTATGGGTGATATAACTCCTCTCGATACTGTTATATTTATTGATAACTGTTGCTGTAATCACTCATTCCGTTTTCTCACAATTTTTTTGATAATTAATAATTTTTTACCGTTTAGTATGGAGGTCTTTGTTTTAATTATTTGCCGAGTTCTGGGTTCAGTTGGAACTAGGTTATTATTGTTAGAGTAATTGGAAGCACCAACATTATAATAAAATGGTATACTTGCAAATGGGTAACAATACATCCTTGTTGAAAAATTATATTTGCTTGCAATAACTTAATATTATCTATGCCTATTAAGCCATCAAATACATTGTGGAACTAAATAAAAATAATTTTAATTTTACATTATTATTTAGACTAAATAGGGCGTGGTTCAAAGCCCACTTGTACTAAAGCTCTAGGCTTATTGTACCCCTCACAGTGTCTATTCCATCAGATTGATTTTATTGACGAATTCAAGATTATGTCTGATGGGCGCTTTCACATTTATATTTACACTATGTTTATGTGCTGATTTTTAGAAAACTGTAGTCACTACAAATGGTTCATATATTATATCATTCGGGTAAAATCGTTCAGCTACTTCAGGGTTAATGAATGATTTCTAAGATCCTGTGTCCACCAAAAATTTTAAATTATGTTCAGGGAAAATTATATAGGGTAATTCACTTAAATCCTCACAATTTATTGAAATGTGTACGGGATTTTGTTGCGAGTTATTTTGTTCCGAGGCCATTACTCCAAAAGCTCAATTTTGAATTTTAAGCGAGAATTGACATCAAATCCATTCTTCTTATTTCAGTTTTGTGGGTGTTAGTAGAGAAGGAATATTGTACAGCTATTTCTGCGAATAACACATTACATTTTTCATAAACATCATTTTTTTATTTGCATTTGTCTAACGACTTTTTTGTAATCTCTGAGGCGAGATTTGGGTGATTCCATATAAGTTTGGTTTACTGCTCGTTGAGATTATAGAATATATAACAGAAACGAAATTAAATTCAAAATGCCTTATTTTTCTTTGCATTAAACAACTTTTATGACAAATAATTATAATAACATTAGCCCGTAGGGTGTGACAGGATGCTAGGATCCAACGCTAGAGAAGATCAATGTCGAGTTTGTGGAGGAGATGGAAGTACCTGTAACACTTTCACCAATACCATTCCAATGAAAGATATGCAAGTTGGTAAGATACAATACAACAATACATCTAGCTGATTTGATATTTTAAAATAAATTTCAGGTTACAATGATATTCTACTCATTCCTGCTGGCGCCACAAACATTAGAGTCGAGGAATTGGCACCATCTAACAATTATTTAGGTACCAAAATCTTTTTAATATGCACCTTTGATAAAAATTTACTATTACTGTTTTTTTACAGCTGTAAGAAATAAAACAGGTTTTTACTATTTAAACGGAAATTGGAGAATAGATTTTCCTAGAAGTATAGATTTTGCTGGAACAAGATTTAAATACGATAGACAACCACAAGAATTTGATGCGCCAGATATATTAACTGCTCTGGGTCCAACGGATGAATCTCTATTTATTGTTGTAAGTACGGTATTTAGATATACAAAAAAGTTATAATTTCGATACCTTTTTGCCAGACTAACGTAAGCGACATTTGTTCAAATGGCACTTACGATAGTCTGACAAAAAGGAATCGATTTATTGCCTATTTAAAAGGCTTATAACTTAAAAAGTATTAGAGCTCTCAGTATTTACTGAACATCTTTTAAAAAATTAAGAATGAGAACCACATATGACCAAATCGCTGATTACTTATTATGAGAAGCTGACAAAAAAATAAACAAACCAATTCAATACACATCCCCAATACGAACAGATAATGGGACGTTTGCAAGGAGTTGCATCTTCTATCCGAACCCAGCAGAACGTGAAGAAATTGAAATAGATAAGTAGAGGTTGGGACACTTTAGACCGCACCTGGACACACCGCAACCGGCAATACACGGTCTAATTCCAAGGCAACCCACAATACACGGAATACAGGCGTCGCGGCCTGCTACATCCGGTCTAGATATTGAGCATCATAGGTGTCAGATTGGTATATTAAGTTTGTATAATTATTAATGGATTTTAGAATCCAAGATGGCGGCCGTCGTTCTCTTGTTCTGATACTGTAACCTATTGAGAGAAGAAGATTTTAGGGTTCGTAGAAATTCTTGGGGTTGTTGAAAATAATATGGGGAGGAGGTTTAAGGGTTGCAGTCTAAAACAACAAAGGGGTGTCTTTAAAATTAACATGTTAATATTGGGTTCCAGATATATTCAACTAAAAGATTAAATAATCTGGATTAATAATTTCCGGTAGACTGAAAGTAGTCCAAAGGGCATTAATGTATATCTCCGCTATTATTGGTCAGATTCAAACGGGGGAGTATTGGGGAAAGAAATCTCTATTAATGGTGAAGAGAAAAATCATGCGAAGCCGTAAGGACTCAAGCATGTATCTTGATTATTATTGGTCGGACTTAAACAAGAAAAATGACATTGGTTTAGATTAATATTGAAGAAGAAATCTCCTTGTTATAATTATTAATGGATGTTAGGTGTAAGAGATTTTCATCAATTAACAGGTTGTAAGGATAAAGATAAGAAGGGTCAAAGGATAAAACTATGTTTACATAATTATTAACATAGGATCTTGGACACCAATGCTTTTTAAATGGAAAACGCGTAGTTCACTCTGGACAGTAGAGTGCAGGTATGGACATTTAAGTAAAGATTGGACAAATATTGCTAATAATTTAAATGGGGGAAAGTTATTTGAAATAGGGTAAAGTCAACATTGGACAATGAAAATAAAATATATTTTGTTTCAAAAATTATATTTTAAAGTAAAAGTATTAAGTATTTACAGTAACTCAATGAGTTTCAAAATTGTCTCTCTTTGAAGCTCAGCTTTTTTATTTAGGCCCATTTTCAGTAAACTTGTAATTAGTTTCTTTTTCTTAATTTGTTTTTCTTTGTAATTATTCCTAATTTCCATTCCCCGTTCTGTTTTGTAAAATTGTCTTCGTTTCTCGTTAGCTTCTTCCCTCCGCCTTATTCCTTCGGTACCTCTATCACATCTACATGTGGATTTATCATGAAGTTCGTGTTCAGACGTATATTTTTCTAAGTCTTTAACACCTTCAGATGCTAATTCTGAAATTTCTGTGCGTACTAAGCAACACTGTTTTCCCCGAGAATGTAACCAATCTTGTTTGAATACTCTTCTATCGTAATGAGAATGAGGTGTACCTCTGAGACCATCTCCATCCCTTCTAAGCGGCTTTTGTCCATCAGCACAGGTGATGTATCTGAGGACACCAACAGCATGGTCCAAGCAAATTCTTTAACTATAGACTTATTGTTTTAAAAATAGATTTCTGAAAATAGATTTCTTTAAATAGATTTCTTAAAATAGATTTTTTAAAATAGATTTTTTAAAATAGATTTCTTAAAATAGTAGAACTTCTCGTATGCCTTCCTAACCTAACCTTCGGTTACGTGAACGCATGTCGCAACGACGATTACATCACGCACATTTGGACTACTGCACTTGCGCAAAAAACTTGGTAGTGGGGGTAATGAATTATTTGTTTAAAGTATTGAGATATTAAAGACTCTTCCAGTCTACCGAGACATTTTCTACGAGTAGCTTCTCTAAAAATACTAAAAAAATGTCTTCTTTGTCAAAAACTGATTATTTAACTCTCTTGAATCTAAATGAAATTAACGCTTTGTCGCCACAGGAAACGGCACAAGATTACGAAGAATTGTCTAAAGAATGGTATCATTTAATATTAAATGAAAAGGACTTTAATGTACTTGCTTGTGCTCCAAATATTAAATGGTATTCTATTTGTCGATGTCATCTAATAGCAGACGATGGTAGTACAGCACATGAACACCTTCACGCTTTAATACATTTTACTAATGGATTTACAATGTTGGCCTTGTAAAGTCTTGTACCTTAATTTTACCTGGAATTAAAACAATCATCGAGATTAACACACTTTAATTCCTGTAAAGTACAGAACAACTGTGCAACCAATTACAGACTAAAAAAAGAGACATGAAAATGACTGCTGTCAAAAGCGCTAAAACAAATACATGGTTGCCAGATTTCCAGCTAATACGTAACACTCCTCCTCCTTGGATTTGAATATACCTAGGGAATGAAATCTTCTAAATATCTTGGAGGGTGTCTAATACGTGCGGGTCGTCTTATAGAATCCACAGGATCAATCACAGGAGAAACCTCAGGCGTCATGGAGGCGCTTGGATTAAGTACCTCGGATTCAGCCTCTTCGTTGGGCTCTATTTCTGGTACACTAGGTTTATCCAGCTGAACTGAAGGCGTATGTCTATTTCGCAATTGATCGGTATGTCTTCTTACTATTTTACCATCGGGTGTGGCCACTCTGTAACTTAATGGCCCTGTTGGTTCTACAATGGTAGAGGGTAACCATTTTTGGCCTGGGACAAAAGATCTGCAAAATACAGGGTCTTCTTCTACGAAAGATCTAACTGGTTTGTTTTGCAATTGTTTTTCCTGCTTGGCTACCATTTCTTTGGAAAAATCAGGATAAACTTTATCAAGCAGTGTATTTAACTTTCGACCCATCAAGATCTCCGCAGGAGATTTACCCGTCATTCCATGAGGTGATATGTGTTGAGATATCAAGTAGCGAGATAGTTTGAGGGAAATATCTTTCCCGGTCATTTTCTTCAAAGCGTTTTTAACATTTTGTACCATGCGTTCAGCTTGACCGTTGCTGCTAGGATGGTAAGGTGCCACAAGAGCTTGGCGAATGCCATTGTTTTTTAAAAACTCCTTAAATTCCAACGACGTGAAACAACTTCCATTATCCGATACGCAAACATCAGGTATCCCATGAGTAGCAAATAATTCCCTGAGAACCATTATAGTCACTATAGAAGATGTAGTGGGAACTTGTCGGACTTCCAGCCATTTTGAAAACGAGTCGATGACTATTAGGAAGTATTTTCCGTCTGTGGGACCCGCAAAGTCCACGTGTAAACGTGTCCATGGGGCACGTGGCCACTCCCAGGGGTGCAGTGGTGCTTTATTTGGCATTTTTCTTGCCTCTTGACATTCATGACAAGAATTGACGCAGTCTTCAATTTCTTTGTCCAGGTTCGGCCACCACACGTATGAGCGAGCTAGTCCTTTCATCTTAACTATGCCGGGATGTGCTGAATGTAAGATTTCCAATATTCTTTTCCTCCCCCCTGGTGGGATAATTACCCGGGTACCCCATAACAGGCAATCTTGATAGCAACTTATTTCATTTTTTCTTTGCAAATAGGGTGAGATTTCCACGGGAAATCCCTCGTTATTTTTTGGCCAACCTTTCCAAGCCATTTGTAAAACTTTAGACAAAACTGGGTCTTTCTTAGTTTCTGCTGCAACTTCTTTAGCACAAAGTATCTTTTCAGGGATGTTTTCAAGCATCAAAACGTCGTCTAAAAGAGGTGCCTCGGGGGCATTTACCTTAAGCGGTAAACGACTTAATGCATCAGCATTTCCTATTTGTTTTCCAGGGACATACTGTATATTATAGTCATAAGCACTCAATAAAAGAGTCCAACGTAACATACGCGGCGAAAGTATTTCAGGAATACTTTTATTTGAGCCAAAAATTCCGAGTAATGGCTTATGGTCAGTCTTTATGAGCACATGTCTGCCATAGGCGTAGGTATGAAATTTTTTGATGCCGACAATCACTGCTAGAGCTTCGCGATCGATTTGGGCAAAGTTCCTCTCAGAGGATGAGAGTGTTCGCGAATGAAACGCCACTGGAGTTTCCACCCCGTATTCGTCAAGTTGAGCTAACACACATCCCACTCCGTAAGGACTTGCGTCACACGTAAGAATTAAAGGTTTACCTTCGTCGTAATGTCCCAAGATCGGTTCTGTCGCGATAATGTTCTTAAGTTTCACAAAAGCCCTGCTTTGCTCCGCACGCCACTGAAATGCTACATTTTTATGCAAAAGTTTGTGAAGTGGTTCAGCTATCGAAGCTTTATCTTTCAAAAATATGTGATAGAAATTTAGAAGCCCCAAAAATGCTTGTAACTCCGTTTTATTTGTAGGCGCAGGTGCGTTAACTATAGCACTTACTTTGTCCTTTGTAGGTTTAATGCCTTCCGCACTTATTTCGAAACCTAAAAAAGTTATTTTATCGGCCTTAAATACACATTTGTCTTTCCGTAAATGTAAACCGTCCTCGCGAAAACGAGAAAGCACTGCCCGCACTTTCTGCTCCAAGTCCGTATCCGACACACCTACTATTAGAATATCGTCATAATACGGTAAAATTCCTTGTATACCGGAGAGTCTTGTGTCTATAAAACGTTGAAAAATTTGTGGCGCCACCGAGACACCAAATTGAAGTCTTTTACAAAGAAATGCACCCTTGTGCGTAATAATGGTTTGTGCTTCGGCTGCAGTATGATCTACAGCTAATTGTAAATAGGCTTGAGCCATGTCAAGTTTTGCGAACACTGTACCCCCCTTCAATGCAGACAAAATATTTTGCACGCACGGCACTGGATAAGTGTCAGCACGTAAAGCTTTATTTATAGTACTCCGGTAATCACCGCAAATACGAACTTCGTCTTTGTTTTTCGGAACAACAACAATAGGAGTACACCATTTTGGATATGTTACAGGTTCGAGGACCCCCTGTTCTATTAATCTTTCTAATTCTTTATCTACCTTGTCTTTAAGTGCAAAAGGTATATTTCGAGCTTTTAATGTGATTGGTTTTACTGTAGAGTCTAGGTCAAACGTAACAGGTGGACCTTTGTATTGTCCTAAATTTTCATTGAACACTTCCGGGTATTCTTTGATATAGTTAGTAAAATTTGAAATTTGACTTACCCCAGTGATGGACAAACCTAACTCTGAAAACCAATTTCTACCTAAGAGACTGGCTCTGTCGGCGTCAACAATGATGAGTGGCAAAATAGCACTTTTGCTTCCATATTTCACCAGAACATCGCACTCGCCTATTATCGATATGATCTTGTGTTGATAATCCCGTAAAATTTTATTCGAAAAGCGAATAACAGGCGGATTATTACAAAAAATGTTCTGAAAAGTCGACTTTCCCATTACTGTAAATGCGGCACCCGAATCAACCTCCATACTTTCATTTTTTTCATTAATTCTAACGTTAATTAATATTTTACCCGTAATTTTATCCGTCTGAATTTTATTCATTGAAAAATCCATTTGATTGTGAATGTTATTAACTTCATCGTCCGACGATGATTGTCCATCTATGTTATGAACATTTTTTCTTGGTATTTGCCTTTTCTTTGAGAAACAAGCTTTTTCAATATGTCCCTCTTTATTACAAAAACGACACTTTACGTTTTTAAAACCGCACGTGTCCGGTGAATGTTCAGCATCACAGCGGAAACATTTATTTTTACGTCCCGCAAAATTAACAGCTGATGATCTTGACCCACTTCCGCGCGATTGTTTGTTATTGTGGGAATTACCGACTTTGTTTACAGAAGCTGTCGATGACGTTGCCACCGAATTGTAAGAATTCGATGTTTCACGTATCGCTGCTAGACTGTGGGCTGCCCCCTCGTGGGCGAGGCATAAATTTTGAGTTTTTTGGAACGTGATTTTATCCTCAGCTAATAGACGGCGCTGTAGGTTTTCGTCGCGAACTCCACAAACGATCCTATCACGAAGCATGTTTTCTAAGTTTTCGAACCCGCATTTTTCAGCTAAATGACGCAATTCCTTTAAATACACGGAAAATGTTTCCCCGGGCTGTTGGTCCCGTCTGTAGAATCGAAATCGGTAGACGATCTCCGAAGTACGCGGCGTAAAATGTTGTTGTAACACTGTCACTATTTCCTCATACGACTTGTTTATCACCTTGGTCGGTGCTATTAGCGAACGTAAAATTTCGTATGTGGATGACCCACAAACACTAAGAAAAACCGCTTTTTTCTTATTTACATCCGTGATTCCGTTAGCTGCCAAAAAGAATTCGATTCTTTCTTGGTATGATTCCCATCCGGTAGGATCATTTGCGTTAAATTGTTCGATGTTACCGAGCATCGCCATTTTGATCGTACTATTATTACACTAGTTTAGTTGAGTCACTAATTTTACACATTTAATGAAATCCGCGGGATCCCATCCTCGTCGCCAGAAAATGTAAAGTCTTGTACCTTAATTTTACCTGGAATTAAAACAATCATCGAGATTAACACACTTTAATTCCTGTAAAGTACAGAACAACTGTGCAACCAATTACAGACTAAAAAAAGAGACATGAAAATGACTGCTGTCAAAAGCGCTAAAACAAATACATGGTTGCCAGATTTCCAGCTAATACGTAACAGGCCTACAAGAAAAAACTACAGCGCACTGGTACACGACTCCATTCAAAAACAACTTTCAAGAAAATAATTTGCTTGGCCCATGCTGTTGGTGTCCTCAGATACATCACCTGTGCTGATGGACAAAAGCCGCTTAGAAGGGATGGAGATGGTCTCAGAGGTACACCTCATTCTCATTACGATAGAAGAGTATTCAAACAAGATTGGTTACATTCTCGGGGAAAACAGTGTTGCTTAGTACGCACAGAAATTTCAGAATTAGCATCTGAAGGTGTTAAAGACTTAGAAAAATATACGTCTGAACACGAACTTCATGATAAATCCACATGTAGATGTGATAGAGGTACCGAAGGAATAAGGCGGAGGGAAGAAGCTAACGAGAAACGAAGACAATTTTACAAAACAGAACGGGGAATGGAAATTAGGAATAATTACAAATAAAAACAAATTAAGAAAAAGAAACTAATTACAAGTTTACTGAAAATGGGCCTAAATAAAAAAGCTGAGCTTCAAAGAGAGACAATTTTGAAAATCATTGAGTTACTGTAAATACTTAATACTTTTACTTTAAAAATATAATTTTTGAAACAAAATATATTTTATTTTCATTGTCCAGTGTTGACTTTACCCTATTTCAAATAACTTTCCCCCATTTAAATTATTAGCAATATTTGTCCAATCTTTACTTAAATGTCCATACCTACACTCTACTGTCCAGAGTGAACTACACGTTTTCCATTTAAAAAGCATTGGTGTCCAAGATCCTATGTTAATAATTATGTAAACATAGTTTTATCCTTTGACCCTTCTTATCTTTATCCTTACAACCTTTTAATTGATGAAAATCTCTTACACCTAACATCCATTAATAATTATAACAAGGAGTTTTCTTCTTCAATATTAATCTAAACCAATGTCATTTTTCTTGTTTAAGTCCGACCAATAATAATCAAGATACATGCTTGAGTCCTTACGGCTTCGCATGATTTTTCTCTTCACCATTAATAGAGATTTCTTTCCCCAATACTCCCCCGTTTGAATCTGACCAATAATAGCGGAGATATACATTAATGCCCTTTGGACTACTTTCAGTCTACCGGAAATTATTAATCCAGATTATTTAATCTTTTAGTTGAATATATCTGGAACCCAATATTAACATGTTAATTTTAAAGACACCCCTTTGTTGTTTTAGACTGCAACCCTTAAACCTCTTCCCCATATTATTTTCAACAACCCCAAGAATTTCTACGAACCCTAAAATCTTCTTCTCTCAATAGGTTACAGTATCAGAACAAGAGAACGACGGCCGCCATCTTGGATTCTAAAATCCATTAATAATTATACAAACTTAATATACCAATCTGACACCTATGATGCTCAATATCTAGACCGGATGTAGCAGGCCGCGACGCCTGTATTCCGTGTATTGTGGGTTGCCTTGGAATTAGACCGTGTATTGCCGGTTGCGGTGTGTCCAGGTGCGGTCTAAAGTGTCCCAACCTCTACTTAGATAACCCAGAAGAAGTTAAAAAAAGCTTCCGGTTTCAATATGATAACAGGAGAGATACTAAAAAAATTCCCTTTCCAAAAATGTTTTATTAAAAAAGTAATAAAATGAAAAAATATGTTACGGTAAATATTCACTACAGTACAATTTTTAAAGACGTCCAGCAAAAAGCTTTAAAATCGATTCAAATATACTTCGTTTGCCCGGTACGAGTTCATAATTTCATTCATAAAATTCAGTGTTTCTGTTAATGTGTATCTAAAGAAGTCATATATATCTTTTTACAGCTATTATATCAAGGCGCAGATATACCAATTAGTTACAGTTACAGTTTGCCCACAAGTGTCCCACCACCTTCAACCGAAAGATATTCCTGGATTTATGACGAATTTACGCCATGTTCAGCCAAATGTGGAAGAGGTAAGATTAGAATACTTAGAAACTTATATACTTACAACCTTAAATACTTAGACACTTAAATATTTGGATACTTAGATAATTCAATACTTAGATACTTCAATATTTAGATACTTCAATACTTAGATACTTCAATACTTAGATACTTCAATACTTAGATACTTCAATACTTAGATACTTCAATACTTAGATACTTCAATACTTATATACTTAGACACTTAGATACTTAGATACTTAGATACTTAGATACTTAGATACTTAGATACTTAGATACTTAGATACTTAGATACTTAGATACTTAGATACTTAGATACTTAGATACTTAGATACTTAAATACTTAGATACTTAGATATTTACATACTTTAGATACTTAGATGATTAGATAGATATTTATATACTTAGATACTTCTATACTTTATTTATTGATTTAGAAAACGGAACTAAACATTTTATTGGCTTTTTTAGGTGTTCAGTACAGAAACGTATCTTGCGCAGGCAGAAATTCCCTTGAACCCGCAGATGAAACCCTATGCGATAAAGAATCAAAACCCCAGTCTGTCCAATCTTGCAACGAGTTTGACTGCGAAGCTACTTGGATCATAAACCCATGGAGCGCATGTTCATATCCCTGTGGAAAAGGCGGTACAAAAACAAGGCAAATTACTTGTCAAAAAACGTCTTCCAACGGTTTACAAGAAGTAGTTGGCGATGAAATTTGTTCCGAAATGCAAAGCAAACCGCCTACCGAAGAAAAGTGTAACGAAGGAAAAACTTGTTCTAAATGGCATACGGATCCATGGAAACCAGTAAGATTTAACAATTAGTTTTAAAACATTATAAACTTACGTTTCGAATTTTGTTCTAGTGCGATCATCTTTGCGGACCTGGAAAGCAGACAAGAAAAGTAATCTGCTATACTGACACGAACGGCAAAAAAGAAGTGCGGGATAACAACGAATGTGAACAAGTGGAATCAAAACCAGAAGAAGAAAAGGATTGCGTTGTCAGACCGTGTGAAGGAGTCGACTGGCTGATGTCTCAATGGACAGGGGTATAACTTATATATATTATATTAGTCTGAGATCCCGACTTAAATCGACCTTCTCTTTATTTTCATAAATTTCCACAGCTGCTGGAGGCTACGATTAGGTTTCTAATACACGTTAAATTAAAAAATTATATTTTATAAAATATATATATTTAATCAGGAAAGATGATAAAAGAAGGTCAATTCAATTGAGATATTTATACTATATACATTAGAGGTCTATTTTGTAATATTATCTATTTTAGTGCGATAAATGTGGCCTAACTAACGAAACTAGAAAAGTTTTCTGTGCGACGGCAAGCGGTGAAATTCAAGCAGACGATCTGTGTGATCAAGAAAGAAAACCTGAAGTTGTTAGAGAATGCGAAGTGGCTAATAATGCATGTCAGTATTTATGGTATGCATCGCAATGGAGCGAGGTGAGAACTTTTTTGTAACTAATTAGTAACAATTATCTATATCTTTATCTTTAATGAGATTAACTTTAATGAGATTATCTTTAATGAGATTATCGTTAATGAGATTATCTTTAATGAGATGAGATTATCTTTAATGAGATTATTTTTAATGAGATCTTTAATGGGATTATCTTTATCTCTAATGATATTATCTTTAAGGAGATTATCTTTAATGAGATTATTTTTATTTTTTCCTTATCTTTAATGTGATGATTATCTTTTTTTTTAACGTGATGATTATTTTTTAAGTGAAGATTATCTTTAATGTGATGATTATCATCTTTAATATAATATGAATGAATGTATGGATGAATAGATACAGATATATAGAGACCTCACATGTATTTTATATTTTACCAAAACTACAAATTCTTCAATTTTCTAGTGTTCCGCCAATTGCGGCCAAGGCGTTCAAACCAGAACAATATTTTGCGGGGCTTCGACTGTGAATGGAGTTCAAAAAGTAGAAAACGATAAGTGCGACCCATCCAAAAATTTCGACACCATCAAAAACTGTACCGGCGAAAAGGAAACCTGCGACGGCGAATGGTTCAGCGGACCATGGGGAGAGGTAAAAATAGAAATATCTTCGTAAAAACACTAGTTGCGTTTTAATTTTTTAGTGTTCTAAACCATGTGGCGGTGGAGAACGTTCCAAAAAAGTCGTTTGCGTTAAGGAGAATCAAGTAGTCGACGCATCTTCCTGTGATAGTTCAAATATTGAATTTTCTGAAGAAACTTGTAATCAACAACCTTGTTCTGAAGGTAATTTATAAATTAAGTAAACTTTTATAAACAATATCTCGATTTTTTTTCAAATTTAGACTTATTTTTTTTTTTTAGATACCATCATTCCTACAGATATAACACAGGCTGTAGACGAATCTGAACCAACTAAAGAATCGTCTCAAAAGAGAGAAGCAACAACGACGCCTATTACTACTGGTTCGGAAGATACAGACGGCACTGAAGGTACAGTACCTAGCATATCTGACGCTTCAGAAGTTACTGCCGTTTTCGAAGGAACCACCAGTAGAACACCTACTACAACTGAAAATCCTGATGATTTTGAAATAGTACCAGATGATAATTGCGACGATGGCGAATGGGTGGATGTAGAAGAAGAGGAAGAAGATGAGAACGAAAAATTAGCATCAGAAATGCCTCAAGGAGACGATCCTTTCGCTTTCGACGACATCATGTTAGGCGATCAAAATTTACTAGTAGGCTCTGGTGATGGTGAAGGATCTTCTTCGTCATCTTCGACCTGGTCTACCGATTCATCTACTTCGACTGATTCTACTTGGTCTACAGAATCATCTTTATCTACAAGTGAATTTGAAGGTTCTGGCTTTTCAGAGTTTATCGGAGAATCAGATGTTGGAGTAAAAACAGTTACTACTACAAGAGCTTCAACCGTTGCATTTACAGGGTCTACAGAAAGTACCGTAGAGTTCACTGGATCTACATCAGAACCAGAAACAACTACCGAATTTACCGGATCAACTGAATTTGCTGAAAGCACAACAACAGGATCAACAGAATCAACAGAATTCACGGACTCTACAGAACCATCAGAAATTACGACAGAATTTACGGGATCCACAGAGTCAACTGAAAGTACAACAGAGGGATCAACAGAAAGTACAATTGAATTTACAGGTTCAACTGAATCTACAGAAAGCACAACAGCTGGTTCAACAGAAAGTACTACAGAGTTTACAGGCTCAACAGAGTCTACCGAAAGTACAACTGCAGGATCAACGGAAACTACTACAGAATATACAGGTTCAACTGAATCTACAGAAAGTACAACAGTTGGATCGACTGAGACTACTACAGAATTCACGGGATCAACTGAATCTACAGAAAGTACAACAGCTGGGTCGACTGAAACTACTATAGAATTCACGGGATCAACTGAATCAACAGAAACTACAACTGCAGGTTCAACTGAATCTACAGAAAGTACAACTACAGGTTCAACTGAATCCACCGAAAGTACAACTGTAGGTTCGACTGAATCTACAGAAAGTACAACTGTAGGTTCAACTGAATCAACCGAAAGTACAACTGTAGGTTCTACTGAATCAACCGAAAGTACAACTGTAGGTTCTACTGAATCAACCGAAAGTACAACTGCAGGGTCTACTGAATCTACTGAAAGCACGACAGAAGGATCAACAGAAAGTACAACTGCATTTACAGGATCTACAGAATCTACTGAGAGTACAACAGAGGGATCAACAGAAAGTACAACTGAATTTACAGGATCTACAGAAACTACTGAAAGTACAACAGAGGGATCGACAGAAAGTACAACTGAATTTACAGGATCTACGGAATCTACTGAAAGTACAACAGAAGGTTCAACTGAAAGTACAACAGAATTTACAGGATCAACAGAATCTACTGAGAGTACATCAGAATTGACCACTGAATACGGCACAACATCAATTACAGAACTGTTCACTAAAAAACCAAGGATGTGCAAAAGAAGAAAAATCAAAGGATGTCAAAAAACTAAGTTCGGATGTTGTTGGGACAATATAACGCCAGCAGAAGGTCCATTTGATAAGGGATGTCCTACGCCTCATACCTGTAAAGAAGCTAAGTACGGTTGCTGCGATGATGGTGTATCGGCCGCGCTTGGTCCTAAAAAGGGCGGTTGCCCTCGATCGCAATGTAAAGAAACCTTATTTGGATGCTGTCCTGATAATAAGACACCAGCTGAAGGAAATGATAACGAAGGCTGTCCTCCGGAATGTCTTATTTCTGAATATGGTTGTTGCGACGATAATTCTACTAAAGCTGACGGACCAAATCATAAAGGATGTCCTGAAGAATCAACAACAGAAATATCAACGACCGAATTCTCAACAGTGTCTAGCGAAACTGAAATCACGAGCGAATATACTTCTGAAAGTGGATCGACAGTTACCGAATCAAATTGTGAATCCTCACCATACCGATGTTGCCCTGATGGTGTTACATCTGCTACAGGTCCAGGCTTTCAGGGCTGTAACTTGCCTTGTTCAGAATCTACATTCGGTTGCTGCCAAGACGCTAAGACGCCTGCTCACGGTCCCAGTGGTGAAGGCTGTTGCTTATCTTCACCTTTTGGATGTTGTCCAGATAATATTTCACCAGCTAGAGGTACTAACAATGACGGTTGTGATTGTCAGTTCGCTCCATATGGTTGCTGCCCCGACAATAAGACATCTGCGCAAGGATATGAAAAAGAAGGATGCGGTTGCGATTACACCGAATTCGGTTGTTGTCCCGATGGATACACGAAGGCGGAAGGCCCCGACTTGCAGGGTTGCCTTTGTCACACCTTCCAGTTTGGTTGCTGTCCAGATGGAATTACCAGCGCCAAGGGACCTCACGGACAAGGTATGCATGATCAATATAACGAATATTTTATATTTTATAAATATACATTTATTTATATTTTTCTTTTTTGCAATCGTTCTGTTATGAAAAAAGTATTGTAAGTATTTTTTTAACCTAAAAAATTGCTTTTAGTAGAAATAATTTGTCAACAAAGATTTTTTTAAACCAACACTTAAAAAACAATATCTGAATACACTTTGTTAATAATGCAATCCAAAAAGTTTTGTACACATGAGAACAAGTTTTATTAAAAAAAAAAACAATTATTTTTGATAAAAAGTTCTGCATTGTTCATTTTTTAACTTTCATAGTGCTATCTGGAAAAATCGAAACCAATACTCAAAAAATTGTAAATTTTTTAATAACATTTTGGAAAGCAAATAATTATTTTTTGAAATAAGGTTGTGGATGTAGAAATTCCGAATTTGGTTGCTGTTCCGATGAAAAAACATCTGCTTCGGGACCAAATATGGAAGGATGTAAATGTGAAAATACCAAGTTTGGTTGTTGTCTCGACGGAATAGGTGAAGCCAAAGGAGAAAACTTTGAAGGATGTGCCAGTATCCCGGAAAATCTACAAGGTAAGGATATTGCCTATAAATATTATTATACAGGTAAAAATCCAACTCAGATCGGCACAAAATCATAAGGAAATACACCCTTTTATTTCTATCATATCCCTTTTGATTTATTAAATTATATTTTCGATTTCGTAATTCAGAAAGAACATGATAATGTCACAAATGGTTATCCATTGACAAAAAAACTAGCTATAATTTTAATTTCAACTAGTTGTATATTTTGTTTTTCAGTTGGATGTTCGATACCAAAGGAACGAGGAACTTGTAGAAACTATACCGTTAAATGGTTCTTCGATATGGACTATGGCGGCTGTTCTAGATTTTGGTACGGCGGTTGCGATGGTAACGAAAATCGTTATAAATCAAAGGAAGAATGTGAGCAAATTTGTGTAAATCCCGAAGGAGATGGTGAGCAACAAATTCACTTTTTTTAATGTTTTTATGTTTATAATTAAAATAAATAATGTGTAACATAAACAATTTTCCTTAGGCCGATGTCATCTGTCAAAAGTAGCTGGACCATGTGAAGGGTATTATCCTCAATGGTACTATGATAAAAGCATAAAAAACTGCGCCCAATTTATATATGGCGGATGCCTTGGTAACAATAACAGGTTTGAGACTAGAGAAGAATGCTTGGGTCTTTGCGTTAAAGACAGAGGCGCTGGTAAGCATTTAAAATTTATATAAATCAAAATCGCTATTAATCGATTTACTTTCATGCAGATCCTTGTCAACAACAGAAAGACGAAGGACCTTGTCAAGGTCAGTTCCAAAGGTACTTCTTCGATAAAGAAAACAAGCAATGTACAGAATTTACCTACGGGGGTTGTAAAGGTAGCAATAACAATTTCGCTACTGCCGAAGCCTGTAGACAACAATGCGCACCATCTGGTGAAAGAAAAGGTAATTATTTCTTGAATTTTACCATTATTGCACGATTTGTTATGCAGTATTTTTTTATAATAATAATTTGGGAATGTCAAAACGATTTTATTAATGTGCAAGAATATTTTTATTGATTTTGCATTTACTAAATAGAAAAAACATACAGGGTGAGTCATCGGTAATGCCTCGGTCTGTAAAATAAAAATAGTTTTGTCTCTACAGATAGAGGCGTTACCGGTTGCCCACCCCATATGTTATAACTTTTCTCGAATGATTAACACAGTTCTACATTTTTAACACATTATTTTGAATGATAACTAACTGCTTGTGTGAAATAGATTATTGTTTGGAACCCAAAGCCGAAGGTAACTGCACAGACGTGTACGCAACTTGGTTCTATGATACGCCAAAGAAATCTTGTTCGCCGTTCTATTACACCGGTTGTAACGGTAATCTTAACAATTTCCCAAGTAAGGAAGCATGCGAAGCACAATGTCCTCCAGAGATTGGTAAGTTTAAGCGTCAAAATATTCTTAAGCCTACGCATTGCTTTGTAATGAAAATTAAAAATTAAATACAGATTGACTTTTTAAATTCAGAAAGAACATGACAATGTCAAAAATGGTTATCGATTGACAAAACACAGAATCGTCATACCGAGAAAACTCTGGTTATAATGTTACTAGGTATATATTTTGTTACTCATTTTCAAAATACTTGGTATTAAAATTTGAAAAATTATTAATGGCTTCAATTTTTTTACTTAGTATAATTTTACTAAAATATGCAAAAGTGTGGGTTATTCCAAGGTTTCACGGTTATGTGTAGATTAAGAGTAGCGCATGCTTTGCTATGTAGCTTTGGTTTCTGGATATTTTTTTGTAATAAAATACATTGGAAAACTAAATTTTATTTAAAAAATGCAATGTATCCTAAAGAGTTCATTTATAATTTACTACTTCATACAGAAAAAGATACGTGTCGACTTCGTGACGAAAGCTATCAAAAAAATATTAAACAAACTTGCAAGAAAACTTGAATTTATCAGCTTGCAATAAATTTACAGCGAATGTATTTTGCTTGGTGGGTAAAATTGACGGGCATAATAAATCTGACGGCTTTGTATAATCGAAATGAGATCAATTAACAATCGATTATTCCGATTTAAAAAACTACATTTCCAGTATCGAAATTCAGAAAGAACATGACAATGTCAAAAATGGCTATCGATTGACAAAACATAGAACCGTCATACTGAGGAAACCCTGATTATAATTTTAATCTCAACTAGGTGTATATTTTGTTACTCGTTTTCAAAATACTTGATGTTAAAATTTGGTAAAAATTATGAATAGCTTAAATTTCTTTTACTTAGTATAATTTTACTAAAATCTGCAAAAGTGTGGGTTATTCCATGGTTTCATGGTTATGTGTAGATTAAAATAATAGCGCATGCTTTGCTATGTAACATTAATTTCGGGAACTTTTTGTTTGTATTAAATATATTGGAAAACTAAATTTATTTAAAGAATGCAATGTATCCTAAAGAGTTCCTTTATAATCTACTATTTCATACAGAAAAAGATACGTGTCAACTTCCTGCCGAAACGGGCGATTGCGCAAATTACGTCGACAGATGGTATTACGACACTAGAGAAAAAACTTGCCGGCAATTCTACTATGGAGGATGCGGAGGAAACGGCAACAACTTCGAAACGCAGCAACGTTGCCAAGAGAGATGCGAAAGGGTGGCTCCACCTCAAGATCGTACTCAAACTGAAGTTCAACCAGTACCGACAGAGGGTACGCCAAAACCATTCTCTATTGGTAAGTTACATTTTGTAGACTAATATCAAGAAACTGGGCATAGTTCAAGCAATTGTAAGCAATGGTGCATTATACAATCAAATTTTTTAATTAGACCATAGGAAACTTTCATTGACAAAGTACTTTAGCAAAATTTTGGCTTCAAATAAATTCAGACCGCCATTTGTTTATTTGAGATTACTTCGTAAATATTCCAGTGACGTAGTAAATATTTTAGTACCTAATAAAGTTAATATAAACATTTTCTTTTTACAAATATTATGGAGTTCAGTAGTAAAGTTAAAAACGAAGTGTTGAGTGCTCAAAGCAGGGAACTGATCATTAATCTTCTAAAATGTTAGGCAGAAGAAGCTATTTTCAACCCCCCTTATCAAATAAGTCTAATAATGTAACAATATGAAATCTTTAATATAGATCAGTGTTTCCAACCAAGAGAAACAGGACCATGCCGAGCTGCATTTACCAAATACTTCTACGATACCAGCGACGGAGTTTGCAAGAGTTTCATTTACGGAGGTTGTCGAGGTAACGGAAATAGATTTGATCGGATCGAAGACTGCCTTCAAAATTGTGGAAATGCCCAAGGTATATATTTTTACAAATCTGAATAATTTTACTCTCAAACAAAATAAAAAAAACATTATTTCAGTGATAAAGGTACTCGCTTGATGGTTGCTGTTGCAGCTGCAAAAAGCCGAGACAAGATGCATAGTCACTACCGTTCTAAGGAAATTAAATGAGACGAGACACTTATTAAGCTGGCTCCTGGAGTGCGTTTAGAAACCTCACACGGCGCGTCTGACCACATACATTAGAATAGGGTTCAGACGTGCCATGCGAGGTTTCTAAGAGAACTCCTGCATTGAACAGCACTTCATGTCTCTGCAGCGACCATCAAATGACTACCTTAACTGTGATCCTTAAAAGAGTGGCAACCCTGAACTATCTATACAAGTCAATAAAATGTTGGATTATTCCGATTTATAAAACTACATTTCTGGTATCAAAATTCAGAAAGAACATGACAATGTCAAAAATGGTTATCGATTGACAAAACACAGAACCGTCATACCGAGAAAACCCTGGTTATAATTTTAATCTCAACTAGGTGTATATTTTGTTACTCGTTTTCAAAATACTTGGTGTTAAAATTTGAAAAATTATTAATGCCTTAATTTTTTTTTATTTAGTATAATTTTACTAAAATCTGCAAAAGTGTGGGTTATTCCATGGTTTCATGGTTATGTGTAGATTAAAATAATAGCGCATGTAAATTATGTAAATTAGTTTGTTTGTAATAAATATATTGGAAAACTAAATTTATTTAAAGAATGCAATGTATCCTAAAGAGTTCCTTTATAATTTACCATTTCATACAGAAAAAGATACGTGTCAATTTCAAATTGTATGACTTTTTCCAGATCTTTGTACTCTGCCAGCAGTTCAGGGCGATTGTGAGGGTGAATATCCCCAGTATTATTATGATCAATCTTCAGATTCCTGTCAGGCGTTTACGTATACTGGATGCGGAGGAAACTATAACAGATTCCAGGATCAACAATCTTGTGAGCAACGATGCAAAAAATCTGTTCCTCAACCAACATATACACAAGCACCCACAAGTAAGGTTTTTTGTATTACAAATATTTGAATTTCTAGATTTTACGACTTTATAAAATGAACTTCAACCAGTATTTGAACTTATCAATCAAACTTTTTCGCCAACAACTTACAATTTATTTCCCATTAACATTTATAACTGAATTGGTTTTAGGTAATTTTATTACAATTTCATTCTAGTACAATAGATTACCTTTCTTTCCACACGATGCCACAAGGGTGGCTTTAAGAAGAATAATTGAAAGAGTTGGAATAAGATTAGAATTTGTGTTTGCGCTAACGAGAGCCGGAATCTACGATAATAAATACAGATGGCGTTGTATTTAAACAAATATTATGATTTACTTAAGTTGTCTTTTTTATTCTTGCAGGTGCTAGTCAGGCAGTTATGTGTTTCGAATCGCCAGATCCAGGAAATTGTGATGAAAGAATCACTGCTTTCTATTACGATCCGTCTAGAAGGCTATGTCAACCATTCATATACAGCGGTTGTGGAGGAAATAACAATCGTTTCAACAGTGAAGAACAATGTCAGAGACAATGTGGAGATTTCAAAGATCAAGGTACTTATTCAAGTGCTTTTTTTTAAGAAAAAGTATCTAGATACCTATTCTTCTATAGAAAAAAAAATGAAAATGTTATTTTGTATTTTCAGATGTCTGCAAAATGCAAAGAGATCCGGGACCATGTAGGGGCTACTTTGTTAAATACTATTACGAAGCCTCTTCAGGAAGCTGCAATCAATTTGCGTATGGAGGTTGCCAGGGTAATGGAAATAGGTTTAGTACAGAAGAAGAATGTGCACAAATCTGTATTACGCATCAAGAGAACAAACCAAACCTCACTGCCACAGGTAGATTTTTTACCACCCAAGCTCGTTGCTTATTATAAAACTAAATTTAATAATAAGTAGTCTTTAGATTAATTTGCTCTTTGAATATTAAAAATTAATTATCTAACAGTTATGCTCCCGTATTGTGAATAAAACGTTTTATTTCTTTAGCGTTATGCCGGCTGCCTGTTGATAAAGGTTCTTGCGAAGAGGGATACCACAAACGTTGGTACTTTGACGATTCTAGAGGAGAATGTCTTGCGTTCATATTTTCTGGCTGCGGAGGCAATTTCAACAATTTTAAATCATACCAACATTGTATTGAATATTGTAGGGAATTACTACCTCCTCCCATTGAACCTCGTAAGTTTTAATTATGTAGAAATTGTCAACTTCACTTTCACAATGTCAAGATATTAGAGCTCCTAGAATAGCTAAAATTTTGAGAATAAATAGTGTAATATGTAGTTAAGAACGTATGCTTCTCTGGGAGAATGTTTGGCCTTTCGGATTTGTTTGACTGCTTAAAACAGGTTTTAAAATAGTAATCTCTTAAAAATTTGGGATTGCTACTATAGTAACATTTTAAAAAATCCTTTAAAAAAATTATTTTGAATGTGTGGACATCCTTATAAAATTGGTATTGAAATAATGTAAGATTTAATTATCGCTGCATGCAATATTCCTGAGAAAGGGAAATTTTGTGAAGTGGGAGATTTATTTGGGCAGTCGATGTCCAATCTTTTCTAGAAATTCATTTTAATGTCATATCGTTGAACCATCCACCAGTGTCTTTGGCTGCGACTAGCGGTGAGTTATTAATGTCAATAAAAAAGATCTAAGTAGAAATTATATTTGTACTTTTTGTTAGTTATAAATTTAATTCTTGATAGTTAATTTAGATTTGATCAATATGGATTAGTAATTCCTCTTGTGTTGCTGAAATTACACAAAGTAAAGTGTGTATTAGAAAAGCCTAAATTCACGACTGAGAAAACTATTTAGTCTATGTGCTAATTTCATTTTCTGATTTGATTAAAGGTAAGTAACGTTTGGTATAAAATGAGCTAGTCAAAAAGTTTATAAAGTGTTTATAAAAGGTAATTTAATGTTAATTAAAACTATTATTCCGAATAACGGATTTTATTGCAAATTAATGCCATATTTTATTACACTATGATGTAGGTTTCATAATTTATTTACTAATTTTAAAGCGTATGGCGGAAGTTGAGACCCGCAGAAAGTATATGACAATAATTAATGTTTATTTTTACAAATCTTCTGTAAAACATATAAATGCATATTATACTTTAATGTAGATTAGTAAGTATTTTGTAGTTTTTGTACCTGTTACCAGAGGTGTTACCTGTAAAGTAGCTACAGTAAGGGTTTCGTTTTCTAGTTAGCAAGTACGCACATTCTTGATTACATATTACACTATTTATTTTCAAAGTAACGTAGGTCTGGGGGCTCTATTTATATCTTACTCTATCGTATACAAGTAAAAGATTAATAGGAAATAAAAAACTGTAGTTGTAAAAAAATATGCTCGGACAAGTCGATTTTGTTTTCTACGAGTATATTTTTTATGACGTCATCATTTTTAGGAATATGTCGTCATCACCAGTTTTTTAAATGGTTCACTATTTTTAGCATTGTTTGATTATCTATTATATGCCTAGGTATATAATATTCTACAAATGATTCTCTAGGAATATAAATCATATTTTGAAGAAATTCAATCAATATTTTATTACTGGTCAATACTTTCTGAATCGTATGTTTATGTGAATGTTGACATTTCTACAAGTGCTTTACTTGAGGGATAATCTATCATCCGGATGCTTCATTACTTCTTGATCTCATTATACACGGCTTATCTTTTCTTTCAAGCAGCATTGATACCAACTGTCTCTACTAATATTTATTTACTATTAACAATTACCATTTGAACTAATGCAAAACATTTTTCATTTCAGCTGAATCGTTTACCGATTCAAAGGAATGTTGTGATTCCGATGTAACTAAAGTATTTGTGCCAGTCTAGCTATATATTAGGTTCTTTCGTTCGTCTCACTGGTGTAGGAATGAACTACACCAACGGACACTAAACCTTTCGTTTGGCCCGGTGTAAAACCCATTATACTTTCCTGTCGGTGATGTGGTGTCCACTTGGATATTTTCTCCACCAGCTATTTAGCAGTAGTGAATTACAATCGTATAAGGAATAATGAGGTAGTAAATTAGGGAAAATAAGGTGGTGTAACTGGTGTAATTTACACTGATAGACACTGCACCAACACCGAACGAGAGAACCTCTTATATCAAAAGATAACTTTAAAACCGGAATCAAAAAATTCCATCCACATTTTATCTGTATAAAACAAAAAAATCACATTGACCCCGTTTCTAATGTATCTTTTCTTTCGTGGCTTTAAAACTATCCGGTTTTTCTGTTTGTTTAAATTTTAACATTTTCAGAAATCACCACAGACATGGCTCCTCACCCATGTCAAGAAGCTTTCGATGAATGTACAACTTTGAGATGTCCATATGGCGTGGAACCTTTCGTAGATGAAAACGAATGCAACAGATGTCGTTGCAGAGATCCATGCTCAGAAGTAGATTGTCTTGAAGATGAACAATGTGCCATTGACTTGAACACAAATAAGACATCGCCACAAGACGCTGATTTTCTAGCCATTTGTAGAAAACGTGAGTAAAGACGAGTTTCTCTCTCATCGCTTGCAGCAATCTAATTTTTTCTCGATACTCTGCGTTCGAATTTCAACGGTCAACATGTTTCGAACCTCATTTCGTTTTTCGTTAATCGGCACTCCAGTAAAGATGCCTCAGCACGCATCTGGTTACTGAGACTTTACTTTCGAACCTATAACAGGTGACTTGTTTCGGGGTCGAAATATTTTACCTTTAATATTACACAATTTTGTTAAATGGTGAGATATTCAAATAATTGAATAAACAGTATATCATCAGTAAGTGTTTTGACACATTTATTTCAAATTTGAAGTAAATCTATTTAGAAAAAGTTGTTCAAATTTCAAACGGCATTTTCTCCAAAATTAATTTTTGCTAATACATTATTTTAACGTAGTAAGGTACTGCGCTGGTAACGAAAAGTCAGGGGTTCAAATTTAGGATTGGATAAAAGTCATAAAAAAAATTTTAGTGGGTTATAGAAATTAGAAAATCTTCATTATTATTATTGATAAATTAACAAATATTATTTGAAGATTAAGTCAAGGTTAAATATCAACGTCACTATTGGGAAATGCTTTCTCATTGGCCTAGTCTGTGTTCTGATTTATTAGTTTATTTATATTTAGATCATCATATAAAACTTAAATCCACGTAGATTTGATATATTTTTTCACAAATAATACTTTAATACGTGATTTGAATATGGAATAATCTTAAGTATTTATTTCTAGAAAACAAACCGGGTTATTGTCCGAGTCAAATTCAAATTGTCAATAACAATTGCGAAGAAGAATGTAGAACTGACGCGGATTGTACTGTATACCTAAAATGCTGTTCCACCGGTTGTGGTACGGCCTGTGTAGATCCCACACCTCCAGGACAACTAGTCACGCAACAGAGTCAACCGGCTTATACTGAAGGACCAGATGAATCGCAATGTAAGTTTTAATTTTTATATTGCTTGTTTATTTAATTTACTTTCACTAAATACACTAATTTGTACTTAATACTACACTAATTTTAATATTTTTTAACTGGAACTTACTTTCCAACGGCGAAGCAGTGAGGTTTTCTAGAACATTCTAGACAATTAGACCATTTGCAAATCAGGCTAGTGTTAGATTTTGTTATTTAATGTCTTGGTACAGATTAGCATTAATATAAATTTGATCAATCTTATTTATAATAAAGAACAACCTATGTGACGTTTTAATATAATTTTAGATCAGCCACCTCATGTAGATCCCATAGAATACAAACCTGAAGTTGCAGCTTCAATTGGAGATCAGGCAACGTTGCGTTGTGCTGTTTCAGGCAATCCGAATCCTCAGATTCGTTGGAGTAAAGACAGTATTGAGGTAATAACAAAAAAAAACAAAAATATAAAAATCTAAAAATTGATAATATTGATAATATTTAGATTGATGGTACACAACCTAGATATAGGATAAAACTGGACCAGTCTCTACAAATTATAACTCTTCACAAAACCGATTCTGGAATATATCTTTGCACGGCCAGTAATGGACTTGGAAATCCAATTACTAATCAAATTAAACTGGAAGTAATAGGTACGTATGTAAAAATAATAGTAGTAAATATATTTCTCTATAATTACGTATATAGAACTATACTAACCATGTTGTAAAAAATTATTACTACTATAGTTTTCTGGTTTGTTAACTATGCATGCATTTATCAATTCGTTTACATTGCAAGAACTATGCTTCACTTATTTAATATATTTAAATTATTTATTATCATCCCGCACGAAAGGTATTTCGCCAAGAAGGTACTGCCTTAGTTAATGTGACCGCCGCCGCACATACGGCAATTAGCGGGAATTAGCACGCCAAAAATAGTTGTATTTTTCAAAGTAATATTTTTGCTTAGATTTAATTGAAAGAACAATGTAAGTTGTTGAATAGACTGCCAGGTTGTCACATTTCACATAAAAATGCATAAAAAGTGGTTTATAAATTAAATTTTATTTAGTTATCTAATTAAGGCGTCAAGTTTTAATCATTTATATAACACTACTAAAATACGTGAAAATAATGCACATACATTTTGAGAACGCTTTACGTCATTATTTTAATAATTAACTGAAATACAAATAATGTACAGAAATTAGTTTTTTATTCGGAATTATCAGTCACTATTTGGATTTATATCACTTTGTACACCATCTAAACTATTACTTAAAAAAGTAACATGCTCAGTACAGTTTCAGAAAAAGGGTTTATTTCGCTTTTTTTTGTATTTGTAATCAGGGGGGTCTGATGACAGTAGCATTCTATTCATTATGTCTCTGTCCGGTTCTAATCTCGATGTCTTCCGTGAGTGATACAACCTTACAAGCTAATACTTCTTCTGGAGTGTATATAGCCATGAATCAAAATATGACGAATTATGAATTTCTTTGGTTTTTTCTCTGTGCGCGGAGACAAGCTTATAGCTAATTTTACAACTTACGCCGAAATTCTTTTTTCACTTTTGAACAGACTCATTTCTGCAGCTTTGCAAAGTGTTTCTTTGGAGATGCTTAACACAAGAGGTCCTGCTTTTTTTAACTTCGACCGTACAGAGCTCTCATCGAAAAATTTTTTTGTTCTTCCACGTTTTTGATAATTTCTTACTTCTTCTGCCGTGGGTGTTGCAGAGATATTAGAGTCTAATCTAGAAATTATTATCTATCTATTTATCCATAAAGCATATTTTTTTGGTGAATCTTGCGGGTTGTACTTTTGCATATCTTCCACTTTTTGTTAAGTTTCGACACGAATATCTTTATAGTACATTTAAAACGTTTTTCCGAGCACGTGGGAATTTCTGATGTATTAAATTTAATTAATATGTACTGTTCCACTTTTTCAATGCACTTAGCTGTCAACAGAATTTATCGCTTTGTAGAACAGAAAAAAATTCATTTCTAGTGATTTTGGGGAGATGCGGATCAACGTTGTTGTGACTACCTCTAAAGAAAATAACTTGTATCAGACAGAGGACATTTGGGGACGCAAATTTTTTTAAGCTCTTAAAGATAAAGGTCTTATCTAACTATAACATAAAAAACGAGAGTGGAACTCGGTGGAACTTTTTTTGTAGCCCTCGCAGAAATTAGCCGTAAACAAAAAAGAATGAATAAAATTAAGTCCACCAAAAGCTGCCGTTATTATTAGGCAAGAAACAAATAAATAAATGGTTAATACTTGAATAAGAAATACATACATAAAGCTTCACAGTCCATCTTGAAAAATTTCTTGAATTACAACATTTAAACAACAACACGTACTTTTCCAACAAGTGTTCGCATGCTGATGTATGCGTCAACCACACTTAAGACTGAAAGCGCACTCTTTCTACCCATATTACTCTCTTATTTATCCGATGTTCTCGGTGGCGTAAAGCCAGATAAGAGCACGAATGTATACAGAACAATACTGTGTGGATGAAACATGTTTTTAAAATATCAATTTTTTTTTATTTTTGGCGCGCTAATTAGGGATAATTGCCGTATGTGCACCGTTTGGAAAGACGATTTGTCATTCGACCGGCAGAATGGATAGTATCGTTTTGATCACCGCAAAGTACACGCACGCTCGTGTTAAAATTGTAATTCGGCTCTGACTCGGTCACACCACCCGGAATATTCAAATGCCAGCCTTTAAATACAGTCCACATCCTTTAGAGTCGGTACGTGCACACCCAAGAAAAAAAAAGCGTCACCATAACTTACAATGCTTCCAGTTGGATTTTAAGAACAGAGTGATCAAAGTTGGTGCCAAAGATGTATTCTTACATCCATATAGAGGAGGATACGGTGGTACATGGAAGAAGTGAAACCGTTATAGTAGCACGGCTTCAAGAAACTATGGAAAAAAGAACACCTGCCATGATGGAAACACGATAAACGGTTGGTCCTGGAATTCTGATCGGAAAGGAGTTGGTCACGATTGCTAAAGAGATTCCAGTTTGTCTTATAAACGTTAATGACCGCCCAATTACCATCAAGAAAGAGACCAGAATCAGAACTTGTGTATCAGTAACTTCCATAATTCGTCAGACAACAACTTCTGATAATTCCAATGACAAATTCGAGCAAATGATTGCAGTTGCTGGTCAATCTCTGAATCAATTAGAGAAAAAGAAAATAAAGGAATTTCTTCGATGATATCGTGACATTTTTATACCAAAAGAAGGATAAACAGGAAGAACTTTTGTTGTAAAACATAAAATTGACACTGGTAATACCAGGTCGATTCGTCAATCAGCTCGAAGAGAGAGGAAACCGAAAGGATTTTTCGGGAAATGGAAGAACCTTCTACCAGCCCATGGGTCCTACGGTAGTCCTGGTCCAGAAAAAGGATGAAACTACGAGGTTCTGTTCTATATGGATTATTGTCAGTTGAACAATGTTGCCAAGAAAATTAGTTATTATCTGCCTTGAATCGACGATACATTGGAGACATTGGCAGGAAGTAAACTATTTTCTACCTTAGACTTGAAATCTGGATATTGGCAGGTGGAAATTGACCCAGTAGATAAAGAAAAGACAGCTTTTATCTCCGGATCTGGATTGCCATTTGGACTATGGAATTCCCCCGAGACATTTGAAAGACTTATGGAAAATGTATTAAGAAGGTTATCCTGGAAAACATGCCTGGTGTATTTAGAAGACATTATAGTATTGAGGAAGACATTTGATGAACATCTGTAGATAAAAAGAAAGTCGCTTCCATCAAACAATGACCATAACCAACTGATAAGCATCAAATAAGAAGTTTTCTTGGGCTCCGTACGTACTACCGAAGATTCATAAGGAAGTTCGCAGATATTGCTAAGCCATTAAACTGCCTTTGAACCAGCCAGCGCCAATACTAGGCACCCGTACACTTTCCATATAATGTTTTTTTCATCTTTTAATACGGCCTTTCGCCGGCGTAATTGGGTTCCACTTACATCTGCCTCTTAATCAATAACTATTGTAACAATAATTAATATCCTGTTACAATTGTTTTTATCGAATTTATAACGAGATTTATCTATATAGGGGGGGGGTAGCCGGGACTAATTCCCGGGGTAAGGGGCTAAAGTGGGGACACGGAAGCGGCACAAGGGGGGCCCGGTAACTTTAGGTGAGGACGTTTTTTATTTTCTTTTAAAAGTTCGCCACGAGAAGCACAAAAGGAGGACCTATTTCCTTTTTTTTATTTTTTTTAAAAGAGGTTAATTTTTTTTTAAATTGTTGTCGCGGGGCCCGACCTGAAGAAAATTGTCCCGGGGCCCGACCTGGCTCTCAGCGGTCCTGTATATTATTGGGGAGCGACGGCGCTTTGCCTAGTAACTTTATCTTAATTCTTGCAATGTAAACGAAAGTGTACTGTCTTAACATAATAAATTTTTGTTTTATTATATTACTATTAGAATTAATGCATTCAACATTTTACTATTTATGTTTTTAATATTTCTTAAAGTAGCAACTAACATATATTTAATTTACTATCAGATTCCGAACATAGACCAGTTTCAATTCTCGCCGAACCAGGGGACGAGCAACCACTAATTGTATCCCTAAACGGCCCTGCCACCCTCAACTGTTACGTTCTTGGATATCCTTTCCCCGCTGTAACATGGTGGAAAGACGATTCGATCATTCCTTTCAAAAATAACGAATTCGAAATTCGCAAAGACTACTCCCTTCTCATTCATTCCGTTCGGCTACAAAATCTAGGAATTTACACGTGTCAAGCTTATAACGGTTTCGGCAAAGCAGCCAGTTGGTCTGTAACTGTTAAAACTCGAGGTCCGATCAATTTTGTTAACCCGCTTGATCGACAATACAATAAATTCGTTGTTTACCCTGAGGAATATTCTTCTCCTAACATACCTAGTGTCACAACTCCTAGGATAGATGTGCCATTACAACCTCAAAGACCTAATACACCTTACTATACTCCTTATGTTCCCAGTTATACAGAACCTTCCAATGAAATAATTCCAAATACTTTACCGGATGCTCAAGCTGGACGACCGCCACCAAGTGTAACTGGTATGCATGTTGTCTAACAGTATTTAGTGAAAGTTTACGAATTTTGACAGTTAGAATCAAAGCTTTATTAAAATAGGTCTTATATTAAAGAGAACGGAGATGTAACATTACACGTAGTCCATGCTGTCCAAGCGTAACCCACCAATAGGCCTTTTCATCATCTAATGAGCGCAAGCGCAGCCGCCTTGTTGAAATAGCGATAATTCAAAAGTTTCGTACCGTTTTGTCAAAAATGACTGGGAAAGCAATACATTTCTACAGGCAAATCAATCATTAGAAAAAATTGTTGATGGTGATTCACTTTTTTATAGCTCATAGTTGTGAGCAATTGCAAAAGGTGGTTGAAGCGTCACGAACGTTGCAACAAGAAAAAAAAAGTGTGCTGATTAAGAGGTAAGGTATCAATACTTGTGTACCTACTGTGTAAAAAATTTATGAAAACAAAGAATAATTATTATTATTAGTACTTGCAAAAACACTTTAATTAACATCTATCTTTAGTAACATCATTAATCGATCAAAAACCTTTGTGATTTCGATCACATTTGTTCACCCATAATGCACATTTCGAATATGTTTTAATATGTATTTTGCCTGATCATTTGGATAAGTTTTACGATATTACAAGCAACACAGTTTCGTTGTTCCTTTCTGTATAGATAACATAATAATTATAATTGACTGCAAACATTTATTTTTCAATTAGACACTTATTACCTAACTTTTTCTTCATTTTTTTAAATGAATATACTTAAATTAATATTTATCGAATATAATTTTTGTCCACGTGGGCATTTTAACATGTTTGTTTACAAAAACAGTACGAAAAAGATTGCTGATAAGGACGCATGCGCACAAAAAAAATTGTGATAGAAAGGCCTATTAAAAATTATTGTTTCCACGACGCCATCCGAATTGCTCCAAAATTTCTATTCTATGCTCATCTCCGCGTGAGTAAATCATTTATGGACCGCCGTTTTTTGAATTAATTGTTGGTATTATTAGCAATTTAAAGTGTTTTAGTTATTCAATTTCAAGTTTAAAATGTCACGATGTATCGTGAAAAATTATATACAAATAATATAAGTGCCAATGTTATCAAAAATAAGAAATATATTTGTTTTCAGCGGTAAATATTAATTAACGTTTTGACATAAAGCCGCCATGCTCTTTTGGGCTGAATACTTCAGACCCGCATTAAGGGGTTTCAATAACTATTAAGCATTAAATATTTTAGAAAACAGATTTCATAGTACTTGCATAAATTTAAAAAAGTAAAAAGGGCAAAATTTTGAACATTTAATTTAAATAAGTAAATAGGCATTGTTGATGATGAAATGTTGTTTTTAAAAAGTAGTTTTATAAGATTAGTAGATAAAACACTTAAAATTTCATGGTTTTTGCGGTCAAATCGGAAGTGACATTTGAAACTGAAGTCTTAAAACAAAGTAAAACGCACAATATGATCTAGTATAAGCAAAAAAATACTAAAGTTACGAAAGCCACATTATTAATAAATGTTATAAACCCCTGAACAACTCAAAAAAAATTGTTTAGGTACTAAAAAATCTAAATTTTTGCAATATTTATTATTTATTATACAATCGAATGCGGTTTTAAAGATGAGATCAAAAAATCGGAATCTCTAAATTTTGGAGACAAATGCAGGCGACCGATAAGGCTTACAAAAATAATCGATTAATCCATTATTCTGATTTTTTTATGCAAATCTATTTATCCGTTATAATTAATCGATTATTTTCGATTTATCGAATATTTTCAAAAAAATTATTTTCGTTTTTTCAAAGATAATAGATTTATTGAAAATAATCAAAAATATTCGATTTTTTTAGAAAATTTTATAATCGACTTGTTTAATTAATCGATTATTTTCAATTAAGCGATTATTTTCAATTTTTCAAAGGTATTCCAATAATTTATTTTAAAGGAAATGCGAAAAAATAAAATATATGAAAATAATCGCTTGATCGAATATAATCGGTTAATTTATATAATCGATATTTCAGTTATTTTTTAAATTTATCGATTTATCGGTTAATCAGCTTTTAATTAATCGATTATTTTCAAATAATTAGTTTTAAACGAAAATATGAAAAAAAAAGATTTGAAAATAATCGATAATTTAGTTATTTTTTTTAAATCGATTTATCGTAAAATCGGCTTCTTAATTAATCGATTATTTTCGATTAAGCAAATATTATCGAATTATCGATTAATTTCGATATTTCAAAGATAATCGACTAATGGATTTTAAAAGAATTACCAAAAAATAAATGATTTAAAAATAATCGATTAATCGAAAATAATCGATTATTTAAAAAAAAAATTTTTAAATCAATTAATCGGTTAATCGGCTTTTTAATTAATCGGTTATTTTTGATAAATCGATTATTTTCGATTTGTCAAAGATTATCGAACAATCTTTTTTCAATAGAAATACGAAAAAAACATAGATTATTAGAAAATAATCGATTATTTAAAATATTCGATAATTTGTTTATTATTTTTTGAAAACACTGATTTATAGATTAATCGTTTTTAATTAATCGATTATTTTAGATTAAGCGATTATTTTCGACATTTCAATGGAAGGAAATAGCAAAAAATAAATTATTTAATAATAATCGATTGATCGAAAATAATCGATTTTAAATATTAGATAAATCTGTTTTTTTATAAATTGATTTATCGATTAATCGGTTTTTTAATTAATCGATTATTTTTGATAAATCGATTTTTTGATTTTTCAAAGATCATCGAACAATTATTTTCAATGGAAATACGAAAAAAAAAAGATTATTAGAAGATAATCGATTATTTTAAATATTCGATAATTTGTTTATTATTTTTTGGAAACACCGATTTATAGGTTAATCGATTTTTTAATTAATCGATTATTTTCGATATTTCAAAGATAATCGAACAATCGATTTTAAAGGAAATAAAAAATGAATACTTTGAAAATAATCGATCATTTATTTCGATAATCGTCCACCCCTAGCGACCAAATGACTTTTATTAGGTATAAATTTTACAATGTTATCCAGTTACAAAAATACGCATTTCTAGAGATTTATGTGACACTTCTTTTATATTAATTAATATTCCTAAAGAAAGAAGCTTTAATATTTATTTTTCTGAGGTTACTATACAAAACAGCATTTTCTCATTTTGACTAATTTTTTAACATTATGTAATAGCCGTAGAAAAAATATAATGTTCAACTCACAAGGTTTGATTTACAGTATTCGCCTGCGCGCATGCTGCTATTATAATACTCGTAGTAAATGAGTACCATTTTTTTCATAAAGGTTTTTATAAGTTTTTATAATTCTCTTTAATATTATTATAAAACTGGTTTATATTTTGTGCTATTAGGTAAAAAATTTAAATTAATAAAATTTAAATTAATTCTGAACAAATCTGTTTTTTGTCAAACTCCCAACAATTTTTATTTGTTTATTGGTAAAATTAATTCTTTCACTATAAAATCATTTAACATATATTAAGGAATGATCAGTAAGTTTAGATTCATCCAAAAGAATTGCTGGGGTATTATTCCAATTGGGTTAACACATAGATAAAAAATTCAAATTAAAATAACCAATTAAGGCTGTGAGAAAATTTTTACGAAATACATCACAAATATTTTCCAAATGATCCAAGAATGTAGCAATACTTGCATTTGGTGAGTGATAGAGACTGCCTATTACCCACTTTATACCACAATAGGTAATTAAGCGTTAATTACCAGAAAATAGGCATATTTTTCAAAACATATGCTTGAAAATTAAACAAAAGTAAATATTATTTAAAACAAAAATCATCACAAACTTTGTTTTGCCCATAAAATACAAGAAAATAGATGCATAAGTGTATTTATTATTAACAGTATAGGTAATTAGTGATTACTCCTGTCAAAATTCGTTCTCTTTATCCTTTGTATTTACATTGTTTTACTTGTTTAATATTTTTCGTTTTAATTTTTTTTTTAATGTTCATTGTTTAATACATATTCTCTATTTTCTACTTAGTACCTGCCAAAGCAAATATTACGACTAACGACCAGAAGTATCCAGATGGTAGCGACATTGAAATACCATGTGAGTTTTCCGGATATCCTACACCTATAGTCCAATGGTTCAAAGATGGGGTAGAACTTTTCGAAACGGATAAAATACATATTAGAGGTAACAAATTAATATGTTTATATCATAATTAATAAATAAAAATTGTATCTATATTTGCATTAATGGTGGTTGTTTAGTAAAATTTGTCCTACAAAAAATATTGTACACCGCTTTTCGCACTTGTAATGTAATAATGTTTTTTTTTAGAAACTGAAAGAAATAGCGTTTTAACTATTGAACAGGCAACTAAAGCTGATTCAGGATACTATCAGTGTGAAGTAACGAATAACTACAGCAAGGCATCTAGTGCCATGGAAATCTCTATTCAAGGTACGAAATAAAACATCGAAATCTTCAATAGATATTTTTTAAATCTAATTTTTTTTAGGAATGTACATACATCCGAGCTGCACTGACAATCAGTTCTTCGCCAATTGTGCTCTTATAGTAAAAGCAAAGTACTGCACGCACAAATACTACGCTAAATTTTGCTGCAGGTCTTGTACGGAAGCAGGACTTCTCCCAGTAGATGGACCACACATACAAAATTTTAATAGGCAGAATTCACTGAACAATAATTTAATTTAATTTTTATAATACCAATACTAGTCTTTTTATTATTTTAAAAAGAGTGTCTTAGGAAGAAACTATTGTCTAGGTTTTATAAAAGACCTGACAAATGGGTTTTGGTGAAATTTCTTGAACAATAGTGCCAATCATATGAGTAGTTTTTTATATACAGGTCGTTGAATTTGCAAAATTTATGACTCACCCTGTAACTAATATCAATTTACGTCATATCATTGGTGCGCAAGAATAGTGACACAACTTAAAAATTTTAATGTTCGCGCTTATTGTGAAAATGTATAAAAAAACTCGCTTATTTTTATGTAGATGAACGCCATATTGATACTTTCAAAAATGACCGTTGGAAAGTGGTTGTGTCATTCTTCCTGTACTACAAAGTTTATGATTATCTAATTATCTTCCGACAATCAATGAGACAATATCATCAGCTTTCGGTTAGAGTGACATAAATCAAACTACCCTAGTTTTATTAAAAATACACGGAACATTATTTTCAACAGTAACACAAGTCAAATTAAGACATCGCTGAAAAGAGCATTATCAATATGGTGTAAAATATGCTTTTTTGGAAGATCGTCATAACTCAAAAAAGAGATGAAAAATATATTTTTAGATTTTGTTCTTAATGTTATCGAAGTAAACTTGATATTGTTTGAATACAAGGTTACATAATTCTAATTGTAGCTCCGACGGTCAATGAGACACGATCGTCAAATTTCGGCTGTAGTGACATAAACCAAAATTCTCAAATTTTATTAAAAACACACTAGGAACGTTATTTTCAACCGTAACATAAATCAAAATAGGTAATTATTGTTGAAAAGGTCATCAATATGGTGTGAAATATGCTTTTCTGGAAGATGGTCGTGTCCCAAAAGATGGCTAAAAATATAATATTTTTAGGTTTGTTCTTAATGTTATCAGAGCAAGCAAGCAAGCTTGTTATTGTTTAAATACAAGGTGGCACAATTTTCAACAGTAACACAACTCACATTAGAACATTATTGTAGAGAAGGTTATCGATGTGATGTGAAATAAACTTTTCTGGAAGATCGTTATAACTCAAAAAAATAATAAAAATATATTTTTAGGTAAACTTATTGTTTAATTATAGGGCGGACACTAATGTTTATTTCCAAAAAAAAGATTTAAACATTTTTTAAATTCAAGATCGTGGCAAGTCTTACAGGAAATAAGAAACTTTAAATTGGATGTTCTTGAAAATCTGTTTTTGAATTGTGTCACTATTCTTGTTTATCATCAATATGATATGACACAGTTATAATTATCCTCCGACAGTTAGTGAGACAATATCATCAATTTTCAGTTAGAGTGACATAATTCAAACTACTCTAGTTTTATTAAAAATACACGAAACGTTATTTTCAACAGTGACATAAGTCAAATTAAGACATTATCGCTGAAAAGAGCATTATCAATATGATGTAAAATATACTTTTCTGAAAAATCGTCATAATTCAAAAAAAATTAAAACATATATTTTAGATTTGTTCTTAATATTGTCAAAGCAAACTTGATATTGTTTGAATACAAGGTTACATAATTCTAATTCTGCTCAATGATATACGATCGTCTAATTTCGGCTATAGTGACATAAATCAAAATTCGCAAATTTTATTAAAAATAACTAGGAACGTTATTTTCAACCGTGACAAATCAAATTAGGACATTATTGTTGAAAAGGTCATCAGTATGGTGTAAAATATGCTTTTCTGGAAAAACGTCGTAACTCATAAGAAGGATGAAAATATAATATTTTTAGGTTTGTTTTTAATTTTATCAGAGTAAACTTGTTATTGTTTTAAATACAAGGTGGCACAATTTAAATTATGCTCCGGCAGTCAATGACGCAAGATCGTCAAATTTTGATTATAGTGACATAAATCAAAATACTACAGTTTTAATAAAAATACACTAGGAATACTATTTTCAACAATAGTACAAGTTAAATTAGTACATTATTGTCAAGAAGGTTATCAATATAGTGTGAAATAAACCTTTCTGGAAGATCGTCGTAACTCAAAAGAATGATGAAAATATATTTTTAGGTAAACTTATTATTGTTTAATTACAAGGTGAACACTAATGTTTATTTCCAAAAAAAGATTTAAACATTTTTAAAATTCATGATGTCCTCGAAAATCTGTTTTTGTATTGTGTCATTATTCTTGTTTACCATCGATATGTTATGTTGGAAATATTGTTTGATATCAGTAAAGCATGATTTGCTAAGAGGTCACGCCATTTTTAAAAAATGGCCAATTTTCAACTTCAATGTCCTGTATAGTACATCAAAAACAAGTCATTAAATTGAAATTTTCATTGACCTCATTTTTCCACAAGCTCTAGCTGGCTGGTCTTTTGAAATCGAAAAATGCAACAAAAACTTTTTAAATTGCTATTGTAAAGCAGCGGTTCCCAAACTGTATCCATTGGAGAAAGTTCGCAGAAAATCAAAATATAAATTTTAATATCTCAAAACTTTACCAAATAAATTTAAATATGATTAAGCTTTCTGTTTTTGATTTGTAAATAGATTTTCGCGAAACGTAACATTATTAAATTCAATAACAACCCTAAAAAAGTTTGGGAACTGTTGTTTTAAATTGATATTTTTTATAAGTGCCATTATAAATCTTAAAAGTCATGATTATGTATATTTCTATCACTTTTTTAAAAATAAAGAAGTTTCCTTAATTTCTTTCTAAGACCACCCCAAAAACCATCTTGAAAATCATGATAAAATATAAGTACAATAGAGATTACAGTACTTAATGAATAATTATGATTTTTGAGGTATAAAACTACGTAAGCGTTCTTTTACCATATTGGTGTGTAGAAATATCAAACCATTTTTACCATTAAACAGTTTTTTTTTATTTTTGACTCGAAAATCATTGTAGATACGTTGTTACACTAATCCAGTTATCAAAGATTTATGCAATCTCCATTACTCTGTATATATATTTTTTAAAAAGTATTTATAAAACGTCTATGTAAAAAAATGTGTTCAATACAGTGTATAAGTAAATATACAAATTTAATAGATAACTCTTTTATTTTTCCGAATCATCCCTTCATTATTTGTGGAAATACTATTTTATTTTTCCATCTTTGATCATTTATGACAATTAATTTTGGAAAAATAGTTCCATATTGCTATTATCTGATCTGTTCGAAGTTTTGTTGTACAGTTTCTCTAACGATCAAGCAACATAAAGCAGGAGAAGAAAATTCGCGAAGTAAATTAAAATTAAATTATTTAAAATTTATGATTGAATATCAGGAATTAGTACATAATATGAGTAAAATAATAAACCTATTAGTCATGAGACACCTGGCACTAATTTTTAGTTATCCCACCATGTCGTAATTAAATCATCAAGTTTAAACACAAAACTTAAAGAGTGGTTTTAGATGGTTCCTCGAAATCTGATTCAGGTATAACATTTTAGCGGTCCGAAGATACAGGATGATTTATTTGATATAAGTAGAATAAATCTGAATAAAATTCCGCAAATCTCTTATCCCGAAGAATTATGGTGGAGTAAACCTAAGGAAGACAATTTTACTTAGGAATCTACGAACCGTGGGTAGGTATCTTCTTGATGTCAATTATACAATTGCTGTCATGTCAGTGTGCTTATGTCAAATCAATTTAATTATATGAAGAAGGATAATTTCCTGACAGTAGTAGAATTTTATATAACTAAAAAGTTTCTTAGTTTATTCGGTCATATTGTTTTTATTGGACAAACAAAGCAATATCTACATAAGAGAATAAAAAACCATACAAATAATATCGCAACTAATAATGAAAATTCTACTGCCTTAAATAAACATGCGTTAGAAAATTTGCACTCTTTCGATTTTGAAAATGTAAAATTCTCGAAAATTATCCAAATCTCAACAACAGAACAATCCTTGAGATGATTCATATTAAAAAAATAACTCTATAAATAATAAAACAGACATAAAAGATTTATCAAACGTTTATTTTAATATTATTAACTAATTGTAAGCTTTTTAATCCTTACTGGTAATTTTTAACTTTGTAAAAACTCATCGTTTTGTTTCCCTACTTTATCGTGTTAAACCAAATTATTATTTCAAATACACCTTCACAAGCTGTGAAACAGAAAGATGGAGGTTCTGTTATTTTAAAAATTTTAAACTGTTTGTAATCGATCCCCATATTTTATTAAATTTTTGACTGCTCCAGAAGATAGAAAAATTTTCCGAAACATATGTAGTGTTTGTGCTTAAATTATAGAAAATAAAAACAATATGACCTAATAAACCAAAGAAGTCTTTATTAATATCAAATTTAATTATAGTTTATTTAGTTTTTCCCACTAATTTGTAATCTAAATCAAAGAAAAATGGAAAAATACAGAAAAAATTAATGCTCCGACCAGGGATTGAACCAGGATCTTCTGAGTATAGACCTCGATGTCTTTACCGATTAGGCCACCGCAACATTTAGCTAAGACTAGGCGAATTTGGAAATTTGAAGTAACTAGATTCAGACTTTTGCTGGTACACATACTTTCCCCTCTTTCCATCTCTATCTACACATGATTTTATTACTATAATTAGATAATGAATTCATTTTGTTATTGGATATAAATATATTATCAGATAAGGAAATGAAATTAAGTCATATATTTACTTAATCAAAAAGAGTTGAGAGAGTTTGCATATCTTATATTTAAACATTTTTTTTTTAATACGGAAATCAATTAATTAATCGATTTTACATTAATCACATCAAAAAAAAAAAACTGAAATTTTACACTGCAAATCGAAAATCAGTTACCTATAATGACTGGATTATTGGCAAAACTTTTATCTTGATATATTACCTGATCAATGACATAAAGACTTAGACTTAGAGATCATAAATCATAATGTAAAGTAAAATATAAAACAATTTTGAATTCTCTATACGCAACAAAAAAACACGAAGTTAAGATGTGCTATTTTGTATTTAAATTCTCAACATTGTTACTGGTTTTAGTTAATATTTTGATATTGGCCGTTGTGTCACAGCGTAAGTACCTAAATATGTTTCGTTGTCTTTTCGATTAATGCGTCTGAATGTTACGTACCTACTTTAGATGAAAAACGTAGAAAAGTGATGATGTGCTTAAAGAACATTTGCATAAAAATGCATCATGTTTATATTCAAATTAATTAATAATAAAATAAATATAATAATATTGTTTAATATATTCGAGGATGTATTTTAAATTGAGATTACTTGCATGTGTAATTAATTAATAGTTATTAAACATAAATAAAATAGCAATAAACTATGAAACGATACAGAGTTAAACTGGAACACACGAGAGTTCTTGGCGTGGCAAATTGAGATATCGAGTCTTAGTCGCAAAGACTTAAAGCATTTTGTACTATAATGTTTGATCAAGGGGTTGAGACCTATTTGGTATAGTTGTTCTGAGAACACTATGTTTCCTTCGGCTTTTTTACAGATACGTATTAGGTTCTGATATCAAGAGGGAACTCTTATACAGTTAAGGCCTGTGAGTTCGTTTAAGGAAATATAATCCTTATACCTTATTAAGATTCAGTTCTACAGTTTATTTTCTTTGAAACGAATGAATGTATATTTATGAAATTGTAGGCTAATGAATGGGACTGTGTTTTGAATTTTTTAGAGGACATGTCAAATTTATGTGAAGTCAACGTTTCAGCGTACCGCCACCATCTTGAATTTTTTTATTTTGCAACTAATATCAAATGATAAATCAGAGAAAAGCTTATTTTTTTCTCATTTCAAATATACTAAAAAAGTACCGCCAAGTTTACTTGATCTTTACAAATTTCACACAATAGATATGTTAGAACCTCTATAAAATGCCTAACTAATATTTAATATTTTTTGTGTGAAGCCCACTGTGTTGCTATTACAATAAAACTAATTCTAAAGTAAATCCTGATTTTTTTAAATAATCCTGAAGTGGATATTTAATCTATGGGACTTTATTATTAACCCCCGGCCAAGTTTATTACAGATAAATCATTGTAAGTCTGAAATCTCTCGCTCAGTACTGTCGCTAAAATTTAATCTTATAATTTGTTCATCAACGTTGTCTAGGAAATTATCATTAGCGACTCACATTTATTTTTCCGTTTCTTTCTGTGATATGTGCAACGCTATTACACCAATTTTGTTTAATGACATGTTCAGATGCTTCATCTATCAATAAACGAACATCATGTGTCTCGAAATTAAAATTATTTATAGCAATATATCGCTTTACCTAATTCTATACCATTTCGATCGGGTTAAGCTCGCAATGATACGGTGGTAAGAGTAAAACGGTTACCCCGCATTTTGCAACTAGTTCCTCAATCTTATATTTGTCGTATTGCTCTCTGTATGCGTTGGCAACTTCAAGCAGCTCAAATTTTAAACAGGATATTACAAAGAAATGTTTTGTCAAACAGCCAATTTTTTATTTTGGGTTTGTTCCATGAAATAGCTGAAAAACTAAATTTACGGGAATGATACGAAGCGTTATCCATAACAACAACGTTATTTTGTCAATTTTTGGGTAAGTTAGGAATCAGCGATTCCTCGAACCATTGCTTAAAATAATCGGCGTTCATTTCGTCATGATAATCGCCATCATTTTCTTTGTCAAGAAAACATGCGCGGCGCCAGGTAAAAAGCCGCCTTCATATCCTGCATGTACAATAACGAAACGTGGATCTCTTTGTGTAGTTGCTTTGAGGCCTGTGGCTAAACCTTTTATAAAAGAATTTCTATGATTTTTATGGTGTTATCACACCATGCATAGTTAACCGTTTGACCCACGTCAACTTAAGTCTCATCTAAATAGATAACGTTAAAATTTTGTTGGCGAAAGTTTGATGGCTCTTCAATACCTGTGCCAATGAATGATGTCATTTAGTTCTAACATTATACTTTTATGACCACGCTTCACATATTCACTCTGATTTTTTAGTTTTTGTGGATCGGCTCCACTCTGTAAAATAAATTTTAGCCACAAGATTGACTACTACTGGGCCGACCCTGTCACGGCTATTGAAAAAACGACAACACACTGTGCAAGTCTCTCACTAGAAATAAATTGCCTATACCTCTCCATACTGCATTCTCAGTGTGATCCGAACTATAGAATAAACAAAAACTTTCTCTTATTATAGCAAATTGTCCAACTCAGGATGGTCAGCTTCCCGTATACATTCCTGACAACGATTGTGGAAGATTTTGGCAGTGTTCTAATGGTGTAGCACATCTATTTAATTGTTCAGCTAATCTACACTTTAATCCAACCATAAATGTTTGCGACTGGCCTCAATCTGCAGGATGCTTATCAAAAACAGGTAAAAATAAATACTACATACGGTAACAATACTCTTTTGTGATTTGTTTGAAGAAATACAAAAATTATTAGAAATATATAACGTTTTTAACAATTTTATATTGTTTCAGAGGAACCCGAACATCCATCTACTATTAGTACAAAAAAACCTCCTGATCCTGTAACTGCAACAACGAGAACTTCTACTAGAACTACAACTCCTACTAGAATTGCAACTCCTACTAGAACTACAACTTCTACTAGAACTACAACTCCTTCTAGAACTACAACTCCTTCTAGAACTACAACTCCTACTAGAACTACAGCTCCTACTAGAACTACAACTCCTACTAGAACTACAACTCCTACTATCACTACAACTCCTACTAGAACTACAACTCATACTAGAACTACAACTCCTACTAAGACTACAACTCCTACTAGGACTACAATTCCTACTAAGACTACAACTCCTACTAAGACTACAACTCCTGCTAGGAACACAACCCCTACTAGAACTACAACTCCTACTAAAACTACAACTCTTACTAGGAATACAGCTCCTACTAGAACTACAACTCCTACTAGAACTACAACTCCTACTAGGACTACAACTCCTACTAGAAATACAGCTCCTACTAGAACTACAACTCCTACTAGGACTACAGCTCCTACTAGAACTACAACTCCTACTATGACTACAACTTCTACTAGAACTACAGCTCCTACTAGAACTACAACCCCTACTAGGACTACAACTCCTACTAAGACTACAACTCCTACTATGACTACAACTCCTACTAAGACTACAACTCCTACTAGGACTACATCTTCTACTAGGACTACAGCTCCTACTAGAAGTACAACTCCTACTAGGAATACAACTCCTACTAGGACTACAGCTCCTACTAGAACTACAACTCCTACTAGGACTACAACTCCTACTAGGACTACAACTACAGCTCTTACTAGAACTACAACCCCTACTAGGACTACAACTCCTACTAAGACTACAACTCCTACTATGACTACAACTCCTACTAAGACTACAACTCCTACTAGAATTACAACTCCTACTAGGACAACAGCTCCTACTAGAACTACAACTCCTACTATGACTACAACTTCTACTAGAACTACAGCTCCTACTAGAACTACAACCCCTACTAGGACTACAACTCCTACTAAGACTACAACTCCTACTATGACTACAACTCATACTAAGACTACAACTCCTACTAGAACTACAACTCCTACTAGGACTACATCTTCTACTAGGACTACAGCTCCTACTAGAACTACAACTCCTACTAGGAATACAACTCCTACTAGGACTACAGCTCCTACCAGAACTACAACTCCTACTAGGACTACAACTCCTACTAGGACTACAACTCCTACAAGTATGACTACTTCGACGACTTCTACTAATACTCCTACAACAATTTCAAGTACTCCTACAGCAACTACTAGAACTTCTACAACAACTACTAGTACTCCTACAGCAATTACAAGTACTCCTACAATAACTACTAGTACTCCTACAACAACTGCTGTTAATGATTTCACAATTACAACTATTATTTCTGGGAGTACAACTAAATATACCACCCCTGTAGTTACAATTCCAAGTATTTCTACTTTATTTCCAACGTCAACTACCAGTAATAATTATACAAGTATAACCACTAGTAATACTACTACGACTTCTGCAACTACAACTAATAAAAGCATTCCTACAAAAACTGTTACTAATAATCCTATTACAAATACGACTCCTGGTAGTACGTATAGTACTACAATCACCACTTCTACAAGTAGTGATTTAACTAGCACTACAAATAGTACTACTACAATTACTGATAATTCCTCATCAACTTCAAGTATTACTATAACTACTAGCAGTATTCCTACCACAATCAGTACTACTAGTTGTACAGAAAGTATTATTAGTTCTTCTAAAGATGATTTAACAACTGATGAAAGTATTGTTACTGTTAGTGAAGATGAAATTTTCACTTCAGACGAATCAGAAGCATCTTTCACCTCTTCACTAACCAGTGATGCAATTAAAGAAACAACTTCGCCGATTATTACAGATGAAGATATGCCTTCAACTGAGATATTACATGATACTACAACTCCAATTAGTACTAGTAGTACCACTATCATAACTTCTACATCTTTAGCAACTACATCGGAATCAAATAGAATTGATGATGTAAAATACATTTGCAAAAATCTTCCTCTCGATTACTTTTTTGCACCACATCCATTTAGCTGCTCTTTATATATAGCCTGTAATTTTGGTTATACCATTATTATGAATTGTCCATCCAATCTTTGGTTCAATACTCAACGGCAGCAATGTCTTGAACCAGGACTATCAGATTGTAGAGTTCAATTGCCTAATAATGAAATTCCAAATACAAATATTATTGTAGACCCTATCTCTTATACTTGTCGGATATATGAAATAGCATTTTTAGCTCATCCTAATGACTGTTCTAAGTTCATAGTGTGTGTTCATGGATATGGTCGTGTTTTAAAGTGTCCTGAAAATTTATGGTTTGATTCGGTTTCACGTCAGTGCCAAATTCCTCATAAAACTGTGTGCAAAGTTGTGTAAATAAATTGTATTATATTCTGCGTGGTATTATTTTTTTTAGAAGATATATTTTAAGATTACGCACTTTTATAAAGAATGTAAATTTCAAATTTATATCAAGCAACGTTGTAATATTTTTATTAGGTAGTGGAAAAAAGAAAAAAATAGGTATACAAGTATACAATGTGTTAAATTTGGTTTTGGAGAAACACAAAACATATCTAAAAAGCTTTTTTGTAATGTTTCAATTTTATATTCCAAAATATAAAAACATCCATTCATACTTAAGGTCGAACATTCGATAAAACGTCACTATTGGGTTATGTTTTCTCATTGGCTAAGTCTGTATTTTGATTTGTTGATTGGTTTACTTAAATTTAGATCAATATTGACATATAAAACTCAAATCCACGTGAATTGACGATCTATATTTTTTCTGAAGTAACTGAGCGTTTTAGAATACATCAGAACATGGATTGCAGAGTTGTACTCAAAATGTAGTCAAAAAATTATCTGTATATTCTGTACAACGATTCTTATACATGCGAACTTATTTATAGTACGAACTCAACACGTTACATGTTGAATACAGAGATACAATATAAGAATCGCATTCTATCGAACGAAAATAGTCGTCTCAACATGTGAGTATTGAAAGATGAGAATCCCACTACTGAAGTGAAACTCCTAGGCTTTGTAACCATGTAAACCAAAATAAAACTGTCACAATACAGAGTGCATTTTGATTCTGGACGTAAAATGTTGTTAAATCTCAATTATGTGAATTTGTACATCTTTATCGCAAGAAACAAAATTTTAAATTTAACTTGGAAAATAATGAAAACTTACGTTTTGATTACGAAATGTAAACCATTGGAGGAGACTGCGGGTAAGGCAAGAGAATTATGTAACTTATCAGAAAGGGTAAAGAACAAATTGAAAGCATTAGAATTAACCAAATTTTGGTTCAAATTAAATACTTTTAAAAATGCGGCCAATGAAAAAATATTCGGTAACTTATGTGAATTTGTATTTAATATTTTCTCATTGCCCCATAGCAGCGCATCTGCTGAAAGAATTTTTTCACAACTGAATTAAATTAAAATGAAAACTAGAGGAACCGTCTATTGCCTGAAACGTGCATTGCACTATTAATGGAGAAATCTTCCGTAGTAAAACTAAGTCCACATGAACGAGAATTTGCGGAAAAACATTGTTTATTTTGCAACGAAATTTTCGCAATTTTTCAATGAAATTTATTTCATCCATCTCTATGAGTAGGGATGGGCGAAATGATAAAGTCGCGTCCATAACAATTTAGTTTAATAATTGTATTTAAAATTAACATGTACTTTGCCGAATTTATTAATAAACGATTAGTTTACATACATATTTCGTTTCTATACAATCATTTAAAATCTGGTTCAATTTTGTCCTGGGATCTGTACAATTCTTTGAAAGCCTCTGGCAACACTGCCTATCGCTCAGTTGAATCGCGCCAATCGCGGATTTTGACAGGTCGTTGAAAACCAAAACAACTTTTTAGGTTATGTATTTAATTGTTTATGTACAATAAAGAATAAACTAATAATATTACCTAATATAATAAACTAAATATGAAAAACAGTTGGTTTAAACTAGTATGTAACAAAACAGAATTGCAACTAGTGGGTACTCTAAATGGAGGTCAAAGTTTTAGGTAAGTGTGTGATGCATACTTTAAAGCCTGGCATAATTTATTTAATCTCTATACAGGTGGAAAAAACATCCCCAAAACAATGATCAATGGATAGGAGTATTTTCAAAAAAGGTTTGGATTTTAAAGCAAGAAGAAAACTGTATTCTTTATCAAGTATTAGAAAAATCAGAAAATCAAGATGAAAACCATTACAATCTGTTGTTAAAAACCTATTTCCAGCTTGATTTAAATCTCGCAAAATATTACTCCGAGTGGTCAGAGTGCGATAGATATTTTAAAGACGCTGCAAAACAATTTTATGGAATTAGGATTTTAAAACAGGATTTAACTGAAAATATTTTCTCCTTTATTTGTTCTTCAAATAACCATATTTCTAGGTAAGTTCAAATTTTAAGAATCAGAATTGTTATTTTATTGTTTCTAATAATAAGTATTAGTAAAAAGTATATTATGGCCGAATGAAAAAGTTACACATGAACTGACTCACATTATCACTAACCAATACATTTGGGTTATAAACAAAAAGATGTCCATAATCACATTCACTACAATTGCTGATATCATTAATATAGATTAAGAATATTAATGGACCTGTAATACTTCCCTGAGAAACGCCATGAACTATATTAATTTGATGTTGAAACAGAATCTAATTATGGTTACCTGTTTTCTGTCTGTAAAGTAATCACTGATCCAATCAAATACTTTGCATTTGATACCATATTTTATTTATTTTTTTGATTAATATTTCATGATTGACAATTTTGAATGCATGTTTGATGTCTAAGTAACACTAAGTTGAAGTACTGATTCACATGAATGGTTAGATCTAAAACCAGATTGGTTACTAAAGAGTAAAACTATATAATTTTTTTAATATGGTAAATTTTTGACTAACAATTTTTCAGCACAAGGTAAAGTATGAATGGACAGTATCTGCAGCAAAAAATAAGTTTTGAAAATTTTGATTCTGTGTATGAATATTCTGATAACATAAATCTTGCCTATGAAACATTCTTAAATATTCTAAATTACTATATAGAAGTAAATTGTCCGGTTGTCACAAGAGCTGTAAAGACAAATAAAAAAAATAACTGGATAACTCCAGATATTTTGAGGATGGGAGCTGATATAAGTAATTTATTTTGGTTGGTAAAAAATTCTAATGATGTGAATATACATATTAGATACAAAGAAGCAAAGAGACAATATGTCAATAATATAAATGGAGTAAAAAGATATCATTTTCAAAAGGGATTGCACAATAAAACTTTTCAGCAAAAACAAAAATATAAATGGAAATAGGTAAATCACCAAGATGGTAAAACATCAAAAGGTTCTCAAATTAAACAAATTGAAGTAGGAGGACTGTCAATTATTGAACCAAACCAAATAGCTAAAGTTTTTGCAGAGCATTTTGCCACCTCCACAAATAAGTACTACAGTCTAATTTCATTGATTTGAATTTTAAAAATTTTACTGCGTCATGTGTCTCTCAGACCTTTTACTTCTCTCCTGTTGATCATTGTGATGTAATTGAAGTTACTCACTCATTAAAAAATGTTAACTCTAAGGGCATTGACTGCATTTCCACAAAGATAATAAAACATATTAGTCATCACATCTCTCAAATTCTAGCAGACTTAATCAATCAGTCTATTCAGTTAGGTATTTTCCCAGATTATCTGAAAGTAGGATATGTAACTCCTATCTTTAAAAAATGTGATAATAATTTAATTGATAATTATAGACCTATTACAGTGCCTACAATCTTAAGCAAAATCTTTAAAAAGTTTGTCCACAAAAAAATGCTAATATTATGCAAAAATCAAAATGGATTCCTTCCAGAAAAATCTACTGAAAGTGCAGCAATAGATCTTTTTAATTTCATACATACTTCTATCGATCAAAAGTTGTTTGTAGGTGCGCTTTTCTTTCATTTATCAAAGACGTTTGATTCAATCAACTTAGATGTCACTATTCAAAAATTGGAAGGGCTTGGTTTTAGAGGTAACTTTTTGTCTTGGTTGTCATCTTACATAAATAACAGATGGATCTATGTCAAAGTCGGAAATTGTAAATCTGAACTAGAACGTGTTAATATGGGTGTGCCTCAGGGATCAATTTTAGGACCTCTAATTTTTCTATGCTACATAAATGATATGCCAAATTATATTAACTCAGAAAACATAATTTTATATGCAGATGACACAACAATTGCCACCAACGCATAATCAGTAGATGAATTAATTAGTAAATTAAATGTTTTATCTAATGAGTTTACATCATGGTGTTATAGAAATTCTTTGTTAATTCAAACAAAACCGTTTGCCTTCAGTTCTACTCCAGAAATCAAATTACCCAGAATTGTAAAATAAATGTCAATAATGCAGAAATTATGCTCTCAGATGTTACAAAATTTTTGGGCATACATATTGATAGCAATATGGGTTGGGATAGCCAAATATCTAATGTTTGTATACTATGCAATATTAAAATTAAAATCAATATTTACCCAAGAGCAACTGCTTAATGTCTACTATGCTTTAGCATATTCTCATATATCATACAACATTATTCTTTGGGGTGATGCAGTCAATGCATCTAAAGTATTTATCTTACAGAAAAGAATAATTCGGCTTATTTTTAATCTAGAATTAATGCAAACTTGTAAATATAACTTCAAAAAATTTAAAATATTAACATTTCCCTGTATTTACATTTATAAAACGTTGCTATATGCTAAACGCAACATATACACCAATTTTTACAAAATTCAAATTACCATGTATACTCAACTAGGAATGCAAATTTATTCAGAACACCAAGACATTCAACAGCATTATTTGATAAATCGCCTGAATTTGTTGGAATTAATTTTTTTTAATTAAATCTGAAAAGAAATATGAACCTTTTAAAAGAAAACTTAAAAACTATTTGATTCATGTTTTTATAATTTATCTGAATGACACCATATTTTAAGGTAAAGGTTTTTCTAATTGTATATTTTTAATGTGCATGTCTTATATATTAACACCTTTCACAAAATATCTATTAACACATTTTGCTAATTAATTTTTTTTCTCTAATAAGGACTTTCTGAACATTGTTTTCAGATTGAATACCATTAGCTAAATAGTTAGTAAACTGTTTTGGATTGTTTTCCAAAATTAAAGGAGGGTTATGTGTGTTGCCATTAATTTGTTTATAATAAAATTGACTTTTCTTTACTTTAATACTGTTAACAATAACATTATGTCTTTTCTTACAATTTTACTTATTTTTATAATTTGATCATCATACCAAGGCAGATATTTTTCATAAAAAGTGACTGTTTTCAAAGAAGCAATATCATTTAAAATATTTTCATAATTCTGTTTGGGGGCGTCCATTAATTACGTGAGGTGTTCAAGGGGGGGAGGGGATAAAACTAAATCTTTCTAAATCTCACTGGGGGGGGGGGGGGGGGGGGGGGGGGGTTCGTAAATCTCACGTAATTTTTTTTTCTAGTAGAAAACGGTGTAAAATTGCGTGAAAGTAAAGTTAAATTATAGTAAAAGTATTTCTAGAATAAAATATGGAAACATCTTATAATTATGTTTATTTATTTTTTATTAATTTCCATTTAAGTATTTATCATTTAATTTTATTAATGTGATTTTAAATAATTGCAACACTCTCAAACACTAGTCTTTGCTAGTCTTAAATAAAAGTAATGGAACATATTGTGTTTTTGTTATTTTTGTAATAATTCAACACATTTACACCCAAAACACGAATTTTGAAAAATCTCACGTGAGATTAGGAAAGGGGGGGAGGGAGTTAAGGAAAATCTTACCAAATCTCGCCAGGGGGGGAGGGGGAGTCAAAAAATCCTCAAAAATACCTCACGTAATTAATGGACGCCCCCTTTAATATTATTATAAAATCTAGTTTATATTTTTGCTATTAAGTAAAAAATTACCATTAATGTAAAATTTTGTTTATAACTTGCCCCATTTATATTACAATTACAAATATAATGTTTTCTTTGATATATTTCTAAAACTGTTTCTATTGAACATCTAATTTTTAGGATCAGTAGCATGGTAGAGAAGTTGGCAAAATTTTATGGTGAAGAAATCTGCGAATATGAAGGAGAGATGTATTACTCATTTCCTGACGTTGCAAGCCTAGCTCAAGATTCTGTAGAAGATAAATTGAAAGCGAATGGTTTTGGATACAGATCCAAATATATTAGCAAATCTGCTCAACACATATCGAATGAAGGTGGTGAGAATTGGTTAGCTAAGTTAAGAGACATGGAATATGCAGATGCTAAAAAAACTTTGATGAAACTAACTGGTGTTGGTGCTAAGGTAAAATTGTTATTTTACATAAATGAATAATAATTGTTTTTCGTTTACTGTTAGGGTGAAAATGAGTGGGATGATATCATCGCCTTCCACTGCAACCCAGATAAAAAAAAATTATATTGATAAAATTTTTATTTAGTTAAAGTAAATCAATAATTTTAACTGGTTTAATCTAATTTAATAAAATAATTAGTTTTTGAATACCTACTTTAGTTATTATAATCGAGTTGCATATTTGACTTCTTATTTAAATAATTCTTTTTTTTTTCATGCAGGTAGCAGATTGTATATCTCTGATGTCTTTAGGCCATCTTGGCTCAGTACCTGTTGATACTCATGTGTATCAAATAGCTAAGAGACTTTACATGCCTAAACTACCCAATAATAAAACTGTGACTGAGAAGGTTTACAATGAAATTGGGGATCATTTTAGACAGTTATATGGACCTCTAGCCGGATGGGCACATACCGTAAGTTAAACTATATTATTACACTTTTATCTGTATTAAAAAAGCATTTTTAAATAGTTACTTGTGTGTAAAACATTAAAGACAGTATTCAGAAAAAAAGTAGAGTTGGATGATGGTGTCATTTTTAAATCATTACTATGATTAGAAAAATTGAATTAAATGTTTCATCATATTAGAAATTCAATATTCATTAATGTTTTTCTGGAAAACATTTAAAAAATCGATATAGAAATATGTTAAGATGGACAATCATTAGAATGACGTTTCTCTCTTTAAGTTTATACATGTGAATATATTTAAGTGTTTTTGTGAATTTGGCTATAAAAACTAGAAAAAACATTTTTCTGCTTATTCTAGGTGTTATTTTGCGCGGATCTTAAGAAATTTCAAGGCAATAATGTTGATTCAGAGGAAATAAACAGCACAACTAAGAAGAAAAAGAAGTCCAAATAATTTTAATACTCTTTTATAATGTAACGATTTACTTTGCTTCCAGTTTGTTTAATACATTTTTTTATATTATTTAATTCTAGTATTATTTTTTAGAGCATTATATTTTATAGGACGTACCTATTTTTTTATGTAGGTACACAGATAAAAGGAATGTATTAAAAACAGTGCATTATATTGCTTGGTTTTCTTATTCCAGGTACAATACTGCTAAAGAATCAATAATTACAGACCAATTATCTTTCATTTTTGGAAAAACTACTTAAAAAATTAAAGGCAAATTTTCAGCATTAGTAAACAACCAAATTCTGCAATTCCAATTTGGATTAAACTCTTGTACTAAACTATAAATTGAATAAATAGTATTTGAAAGTATTTTTTTCCTCCTCGAGTTCTATGTTATGTTCTTCATTGGTGGAGCTGTTTCAGAAAAAGGTTTTGCATTATGAGTTTACATCATTCTAGTCGTTTCGTTCAAAAGATGGATCTTATAGAAAAAACTAAATTTAAATAAAAAACTCACCAGTTAAAGCCGCTCGTTCCTCCTTTACTCTCTGCTATATTTGTTGTCCCAGTATTTCTTACCGCTTCTGCATAATTTCTAGTAGATTTTCCCGATTAAAATCGCGTCCGGACAAATCTTCTATTCCCGACGACATTAATGATCATCGTATCATGTTCGATTCTATATCAATCCTTTGATACGTTAAATTTTTCAAAATAGACGTATCTCAGGCTAGTATATCTGCAGCCTTGTCCATTTGACCCTAGAAGGTACATCCGAAGATACTATAATGTAAATCAAATATCTACATTGAACATCGATGGACATATACATTCTAAAATCAAATGTCTTTATTGTCAGAGGTGAAATGAACATGAGCTCAAATCATTGACATCGTGCTACCGATTTACTAGAAATATTTGCGGCGGTTTAAATTTTTTTACGGATAGTCGCTGAAAAGAAGAAAAAACAATTATTAGCAAATTTGGAAAATTTCAAAAGGAAGGATATTATTGAATAGATATAGAAATCTTCTAATTAAGGATTTGCAAAGAAAACTAATCTATATAGGGTGTTTCAGAATGTAATGTACATACGTTAACTGTAGGTTGGATGATTCCAAATCATCTGTTATTAATAGGTCTATCACATCTCGACATCTCATTACCTAGATATGAATTTCGCCCGAATTTGTTTTTAGCCAAAACTTAACCTTTTGGGGTAAAAAATTAAAATTTGGCAGGCAGATTCATCTCAATATAACCAAAATAATGTCATAAAAATAGTAATTATAATCCAGGTTCGGCTTAACAAAATTTGACCGTTTCTTTCCACTTCACCCTGTATAACCAAATTTGGCAAATATTATTAAATAACTCAGAAGAGCGGAAAAATCGATTAAGGTAGGTGTCTTAAAATGTCGTTTTAGAGGCACTAATATTTTGATAAAAAATTATTTTTAAAAATTTGTTACATTTTGAATTTAAAAATGATGGTTTGATGATAAAACACGGAAATTTTACTTTTTCAAGTAAGTATTTTTAAAATATCTCAATTTTACACTATTTTAGTATTTAATTTAGTTAGATATAAATTACAGGACCGTAGTTAGCTAAACCAATAATTTTTTAAATACCTGGTAAAATGAAAAATAGGAAAATTAAGGATTTCAAATATTTCTACTTAAAAAAAGCGAGTTTAACAGCAAGATTACTCCTGCAGTTAACTTTTTATATTTAAATATTTATTCAAATTACTTTTGCCAGTAATGCTGGAAAATTAAAATATTGGGGCATGTATTTCCAGCATGATGGTGTTGCGCCACATTTTAGAATACTCGTAAGAGACTTTCTAAATGATAATTTTCCTATTATGTGGATAGGTAGGGTGGACCTTATCATTGGCCGGCAAGATCACCAGATTTTAATCCTGTAGAATATTACCTTTGGGGACATTTAAAATCATTAGTTTATAGTGACGAAATTAATATACCTGATGAACTTCACAATGAGTGTGAAGAAATACGAAATAAACCTGAAACAATTCGAGCAGCAATCCAAGAAATTGTCGAAAGGGCAACAATATGTACTCAGCAGAATGGTTTTCATTTTGTACAATTATTAGGTTAGAATAGGTTATTTTATTAATTAGGTTTTAATTGTTTCGAACACTTTATTTGTGAAATAAAAATCATTAATTTTATTTTGTTTATAATTAAATTTTCCTGTTACCTAAAAGAAAATATCAAGCTCAAAGCCTCTTAATGTTTGCTATTAATTCGAAATTATTTTTTTAATATTGAATTTCCTTTTTTCTTTCCTATCTGTAGGTATACAGATATAATGAAAGTATAGGAACGGATTTTTACGTTTTGAGGTCCCCTGAATCCGATTTGACTATTTTCGCGATGATGTTTGTGTGTGTGTCTGTGTGCACCATAACTCATGAACCGATACACAGAAAAACACTAAATTTTAAACTTAATCTTTGTTCCAGCGTCCAATGAGCTGACTAGATTTTGGACAGAGTCAGAACACCTTTTAAGCGCCGACCACAGTATTATAATCTTATGCCTTGTCAGTTATTTAATATGGAAAAGAAATACTACAATTAAAGATATGTCCTCACCGAAAAGAAGCAAGAAAATCTACAAATGAAGAAAATAAAGAAATAGAATTAGAATTTTAAGAAGAGAAGAAGATAATCCAGAAACTTCGAAGAATCAGTCCCTGATCTTCTCAGCTTAGGAAGGGAGGAATTATATGTATAGAATTAGCATAGTAAATATTATTTTATCTTTAGCTTAGTCAGCATTTAAAAAGTTAACTTGTTTATTTCGATAATTCTTCAGATATTCTTCATACGTTAGAGTTGTAGTTCAGGAATTAAAGAGTTTTTTAAAAAACTGTTTTTCTCTCAAAAACCATATTTTCCTATAAAGTGTTTTCCTTAGTATCCGTACATATGAGTTATCGACACACACACACACACACACACACACACACACACACACACACACACACACACACACACACACACACACACACACACACACACACACACACACACACACACACACACACACACACACACACACACACACACACACACACACACACACACACACACACACACACACACACACACACACACACACACACACACACACACACACACACACACACACACACACACACACACACACACACACACACACACACACACACACACACACACACACACACACACACACACACACACACACACACACACACACACACACACACACACACACACACACACACACACACACACACACACACACACACACACACACACACACACACACACACACACACACACACACACACACACACACACACACACACACACACACACACACACACACACACACACACACACACACACACACACACACACACACACACACACACACACACACACACACACACACACACACACACACACACACACACACACACACACACACACACACACACACACACACACACACACACACACACACACACACACACACACACACACACACACACACACACACACACACACACACACACACACACACACACACACACACACACACACACACACACACACACACACACACACACACACACACACACACACACACACACACACACACACACACACACACACACACACACACACACACACACACACACACACACACACACACACACACACACACACACACACACACACACACACACACACACACACACACACACACACACACACACACACACACACACACACACACACACACACACACACACACACACACACACACACACACACACACACACACACACACACACACACACACACACACACACACACACACACACACACACACACACACACACACACACACACACACACACACACACACACACACACACACACACACACACACACACACACACACACACACACACACACACACACACACACACACACACACACACACACACACACACACACACAAATTCGTCGAAAAAATCATAATTCCTATACTTTCCTTATCTGTATACAGATAGGAAAGTAAAAATATAAATGAGACTTTTTTTAGATCCCCACAAAAAAGACCTGATTTGATAAAAATACCTGCTTTTTCAACGTTATCACCAGTCGTCACCGTTGTCTCGCTTTTCGTAAACCTGGCGCCTTTAGCTCCTATACTAAAGTTTTTGTTTTGAGAATTTATTTTGATTTTTTGTACAATATGAAATGTTTGTTTTTTAAATATTTGACAATTCGTGTTTGTGAAATAAGATCGTTTCTATATACTGCTTGATCAAAGTACTTGTAATTCCAATAACTCTCTATTGGCTCAATCACGGCCGATTCCCTGCACATTTATGTAAAATTGGTATATTGGATTCTCCCTTTTGTCCATACTGCAATATAAACGCTGCAGCAGATATCAATCATTTATTTTTAGAATGTAATAAAAAAGCTGAACATACCACCGTATTATATCAAGATTTAAATAAACTTTCACTCCCACTACCACTCAATATTTCTTTACTTTTAGTTCAATCAGATAATTTTGGACGCTATTAGTAAATTTACACAAAATACTAAAATAAGATAATATACAGGGTGTCTGTAAAAGGTCTTTACAAAAACATACCACATATTCCTTAGACCAAAATAAGTCGATTTAAGTAAAATTACCTTAGTACAAAGTTGCTTCGTTTGGGCTCCAGAGGGCCTTGAAGTTACAATTTTTAAATCGTTTTTCCCATATAAATTTAAAACGGCATATGCGATTTTGCTGAAATTTGGTATATTGGTAGAGTTTTATGTGGCAAAAAAATGGTATTAAAATTTTGTCCGATAATAATACATGGGCGAAGAACTTGATTTTTTAAATAATTGCAAACGAATTCAAAATTAATGTGTGGGCTGGAATAATTGGTAATTTCATTGTTGGTCCTGTTATACTTCCACGAAGATTAACTGGAGAAAATTATTTGGATTTTCTACAAAATACGTTACCAGAATTGTTAGAAGATTCTCCAACTT